AAGTGAATATAATGAACCCAACTGGAATTGAAACTCAGCTCTCAAATTAACAATTCCAAGCCATTATACATTACACCACCTGCACATCCAAGCAGTTACCCATCTAGGTACTGGCCAAGCTTGATGTTGCTTAACTTCAGTGATTGTTTATATTTTCTGTGACCTTGTAGTAATGGTAAGATTAGCTGTTTAAACATACAGGAAATATTCATTGATTGAACAGTTAGTGTTACTGTCGATTGAAATTTATAAAATCTTTCTCTTAAAACAGTTTCATGAGAAATTTGACCTGTCAAGTCTACAGTGTGCTTTTAAAAGTATTGGGAATTTCCTTCCAAACTTTTAGTTTTTGTCATGTGGAAATTTAACATATAGGTAGATCAAAATTGACTGGGAAGCAAGAATCCAGAAGACAATTTCACAGGCAAGAAGTACAATGAAAGAAAAGCAATTTCAATGGTATAAAAGAAGCCTAAGTTACCAATTTAGTAGTGCTTTAATTCATAAAGTCTAGCTATCATAGCAAAGAGTTCATCTGAACAATGACCATGAAAGTATTTATAGAAAAGACACTTGATAATGCTGAACGAGTTCAGTCCTGAAGCAAAACCTGTTTTGATAAATTTGTAAATTCCAAATGATTTTGTTAATCCTGATGTGTTTCATGGATGTAATCGTACTTTAGCTAACACTTTCTATGACTTTGTATCAGGATAAGTTCAATAAAAATAAATATCTCCTGTGTACCAAATACAAGTACTGGCACAATTAAATTCGGTATATTTATGTGGAAGCTGCCCAGTCCACATTCTCCAATAGAATTCAAAAGCGTCTCCGAGTCTACCAAATTCTTGAGGCTCCTGAGGGAGCCAAGAAAATGGAGTGTAACATGCCATTGTTCAACGTTTAATTGCATGAATTACTGGCTGGTGAGTTGAAAGGACTACTAATTGGATAATGATTATTAAAATTCGCAGAATATATTGAATGGTTGGGAGAAAGACGGTAAAAAAAAAAAAAAAACAAGTTAATAATTGTGTTTTAAACAATAAAATGAATTTAAGAATGATCCCAAACAGAATTGAACCCAGGAATAACTAGACAAGATTCAATAAATTAGAGCAAAACCAAAATTTCCTCCACTCTACCCAACTCACTCCAATAAGAAGCAGACCTGATTAATGTGTGGGCCAAATTTCTTGATCCCAAGATACCAAATTTGGGGTTTGTTTACATTAATACTATTCATTCAAAAAGAAAGAGTGGCTAAATTTCTTTAACAAAGAAAGCCATTTGGTTTATGAAAAGATTTCCTAAGATATGGTGATTAGAAGTGAAAAATTTAGATACATTAATGTCAAATTTTAGGGAGGGTTCTATATAAACGAAGACTGACAGTGTCCCAAAAAAAGAGTGGCCATAACCCAACACATCCATTTCCGTCACTGAAGCAAACACACACAGGACAAAAGTGACAGTTGTTTCCACCAAATTAAAGCAATTCTATATTTGTCTGCCACCATCCAACAGCCTAGACTTAGCCCTCTAATAGATAATAGAGACATTTTATTCTCATTGTAATATTCACTAGCGTTCTCCAAATTTATTGAAGGAGTTTTTATTCCAACCTTGTCCAGGACAGACAAATCTTACTACAGCCAAAGTCGAGAATTGCTTCTTTCCTGAGACACACGACACATTTTGGTCCACCACTGAACATTGTTATAAACCCCATTATCGTAAGATTTTGGGAAGCCCAAATCAACCCTACTGAGAAGGGAAAGAAAGCCAGATGACTCGTAATGTTTTGGTGTTATTCAACATTAGCAAAGGTAGTGAGTGAAGAAGGGAGTTGCGGGTTACAGCAGCAAACAAAATGTTGGGATAAAGAACAAAATGAAGAAATTAATCTGAAGAAATCAAGTAGTTTCATCTTCTATATCAATTAGAGAGAGAGAGAGACATGGACAGAGAGAGAGAGAGACATGGACAGAGAGAGAGAGAGAGAGAGACATGGACAGAGAGAGAGAGAGAAAGAGACATGGACAGAGAGAGAGAGAGAGAGAGACATGGACAGACAGAGAGAGAGAGACATGGACAGACAGAGAGAGAGAGAGAGAGACATGGACAGACAGAGAGAGAGAGAGAGACATGGACAGACAGAGAGAGAGAGAGACATGGACAGAGACTGATATAGAGAGAGACAGAGATAAAAAAAAGCAACCACCAAACCATTTCAGATGGAGTCATATTGATTGTGCGTATACCTACCAAGAGCATACTACAGTTTTCTTCTACCACTTTGGGCTTGAAGACTTTATTTTGGCCAATCATAACTTCATCCAAATTTTCCATCTGTCAAAGTCTACTCCAAATGACCATTTGCAGTGAATCTGGAGAAATTTGAGCAGAGCTTCCACCTTTTCCACAAAGAGTTACTTTTAAGACCCCTACAACCCAGACCAACCTCACATCAGTTCCACTTCACTAAACTCAACCCAAACTAGCACAATAGATGCAAGTATATTGTCTTACTTTATAAACCAGTGATCAGTTATGATATACTCCTGTTCAGAAAAAACCCAATGGCACTGGAGTGAAGAATTGTTAGCAAAAAACAAAGAAAAAGAGACAGAGGAGGGAGGCTGCAGACGTGGAGAGATGGGACAGGTAGTCTGCAGAGTTCAGACAATACAACCGGTTTTAGCATATGCCAATTACTTCTACACTTGCATGTATAACCCTAACCCAAGATCATCCATCCCAGTTATGTGGGTGAATTCATGAGACAAATAATACCAGGCCTATTGTTTGTTTGTTTGTTTGTTCCTAACTGACAAGTTCAAAACACCTCAACAGTTTTACAATTCAATGAACACGTCTTCTATGCAAATTGAAGTCACCAACAACAGAGATGGCTGTAGAAGTAGTATCCATTAGGTCAATATTTAAAAAAAAAAAAAAAAAAAAAAAAAAAAAACACCCAAAAATTTGGTTGAAAGGGAATTTATTTAAGGTAATCTGAAGTAAAACTTATTCCAAATATAACCTTCATAGAACTGATGCACACATCATATTTTTGTTTTTACTATTTTAGTAGTAGGTAGCATGCGTGCATTTGGTCTAGAATATATTTTCAAAGAGATGAAGAATTTAGTAGCAACCACAAAGGGCATAAGAGTATTGGGGAGGGGAAAAAAAAAAAAAAAAAAAAACTAAAATTGCCCAAGGTTTTGGTGGCTACTATAAGGCTTAGCACTCAAGTCCAAACTAACCATGTTTTTATGATTAGTCAGAGAATAACTTTACAGTGAGAAAGAAAGAAGGAAAAAAAGAAAGAAGGTAAAAAAGAAAGAAGGTAAAAAAGAAAGAAGGTAAAAAAGAAAGAAGGTAAAAAAGAAAGAAGGAAAAAAAGAAAGAAGGAAAAAAAGAAAGAAGGAAAAAAAGAAAGAAGGAAAAAAAGAAAGAAGGAAAAAAAGAAAGAAGGAAAAAAAGAAAGAAGGAAAAAAAGAAAGAAGGAAAAAAAGAAAGAAGGAAAAAAAGAAAGAAGGTAAAAAAAAGAAGAAGGAAAAAAAAAAGAAGGTAAAAAAGAAAGAAAAAAAAAAAAGAAGGAAAAAAGAAAGAAGGAAAAAGAAAGAAGGAAAAAAAGAAAGAAGGAAAAAAAGAAAGAAGGAAAAAAGAAAGAAGGAAAAAAAGAAAGAAGGAAAAAAGAGAAAGAAGGAAAAAAGAGAAAGAAGGAAAAAAGAGAAAGAAGGAAAAAAGAGAAAGAAGGAAAAAAGAGAAAGAAGGAAAAAAGAGAAAGAAGGAAAAAAGAGAAAGAAGGAAAAAAGAGAAAGAAGGCAAAAAGAGAGAAGAAAAAAAAGAAAGAAGAAAAAAAAGAAAGAAGAAAAAAAAGAAAGAAGAAAAAAAAGAAAGAAGAAAAAAAAGAAAGAAAACACGCCATCCGCCATATGTGAAGATGTGTGTATGTATATTATACATACACGGACATATTTTTTGATAGGTATTTACACCTTCCAATCATTATTTGCATTTTATTTATTTATTCATTCATTCACAAGGTTGTGTATGCAATTTAGGGTTATATACAAGTAAAAACAATAGCCGGACGTCATCCTCAACACAAGAGGTAACATTTTTCATGACTGCTAGACAAACCTGTGGTGTGCACAGGCAGAGTTAAAGTTTTTCTAAACAGTCTGACGAAAAAAAAACAAATGATCACAGCTCCTCGTCACCTGCAGAAGTGTAAATAAAAACAAAATATTCTCATTATATATCCTATTGCAAATACATTTTTTTTCTTTTTTCTTTAACTTTTCACGGCATTGTTTAAGGGTCAGGGAAGAAAAAAAAAAAATTCACTGATAATCCTTTAATGACAAATATGGGAATAAAAAAAAAAAAAACTAACATTTCTATCACTGCTACAGAGAAACTGAATTAAACATGGGAATACAGAGTGTCTGATAATGTGCAGAGGCTGCCACAAAGCTTCTCACATTTCCACTAACTTCTTTTTTCTTTCATATTTGTCGGCTGTCTTCTCAAAAAGACAATGCTTTAAAAAGGATCCCAGAAGGTGTATTTGTAATATGATACAGAGGGTTAAAAAGGGGGGAGGCAAAAAAATAGGGGCTAAAAAAGGAAAAAGAAAGAAAAAGAGGTAGCTGCCAACATTTTTGAAAATAGTAGCAGTATTAGTATTAGTAGAAAAACTGTTATGTCCAAACTCTTAATACCAGGAGACTTTTGGTGCAACATACCGCTGCAGCTTGTGTGGTCAAACAATTAGGCTCCAACACCCCCACCCCATCAAACAGCCACCATCATCACCTCATATCAAAGGTTAAATGATATCTGCCACTTGTCAAAACTGCAGTAGTTAGCAAGAACTGACTATATAAGGGGGAGAGCTAGAGGAGGGGTCAGGTGAAGGAAGAAGGGACGTGGGTGGGGAGGGGTCAGGTGAATGAAGAAGGGACGTGGGTGGGGAGGGGTCAGGTGAAGGAAGAAGGGACGTGGGTGGGAGGGGTCAGGTGAAGGAAGAAGGGACGTGGGTGGGGAGGGGTCAGAAGGAAGAAGGACGTGGGTGGGGAGGGGTCAGGTGAAGGAAGAAGGGACGTGGGTGGGGAGGGGTCAGGTGAAGGAAGAAGGGACGTGGGTGGGGAGGGGTCAGGTGAAGGAGGAAGGGACGTGGGTGGGGAGGGGTCAGGTGAAGGAAGAAGGGACGAGGGAGACTGGAAGTGGCACTAGTCAAGTCCCGAAGCAGCACCTGCAGCAGCCAATGCAACTGCAGAAGCTGAAGGCGTTGGTGGCTGCGGCATTGAAGAAGACATTGTCGTTGTGGCAGTGGTGGTTGTGATGGTGGCAGCCGTCGAAGGAGGTGACAAAGATGAAGACGAAAATGCTGCCCTGTTGCTTGACGAGCGAGAGTCATCTGTGTAGATTTTTAGCGCCCTTTCTTTCCGTGGAGAATTGGAGATTCGATTTATTAGATGGGAAACTCTGAAAAAGAGAAACAAAAAAGATGCATCCTTAGAAACAATGACACCAACTTGACATATGATCCTGTCCGGATTATTTCTCTTTGAGAAAAGAAAATAAAAACAAAGAAATAAAAAGAATCAGAGTAACTGTTGCCTTCCATAAGGAATGCTCCTAATAGTTTCAGGCATTTTTCCTCTCTTTTCAATTTTATAAGAATCCCAAACTATATTCTCAGCTAGTTGACTCAAGAGCTGTTGAAGTATTTTTTTGGTCTTAATCCATTAGTATCTCAAAGAAATGTTCCTGCACTTAAAATGACATGATTAGAAAATTAGTCAGTTATGTGCCATGCGTGATACATGCTTAGGTGATCATGTATCTTTTGATACATGACTGACGTGGCAGATTTTTTTTTCACGCAGTAGGTTGCCATTTCTTTCTGCAGTAGACCAGTTGTTATCCAATGCTATAGAACCTGGTCTGTCCTGCTATTTATCCATAGCTGGAGGGAGAAGAGGATTCATGCCTTTCCCAAGGGTATTAGCACGTAAGTGAATGTAATGGATTCAACTGGCTTTGGAACTCGGCTCTCCGCTTCCTCAATCCGAGCCACTATCCATTACTCCACATAATTTTAATAAAAATTTAAAACTTTTAGTAGAATTGTTATTTTTTCTATATTTTATAGTTACTTTCTGATCCATACCACCAAGGTTTATAGAGGCTAAATGGAAACACCAGATTATATTAACCACTAATCCAAATCAGTTTCCATTCACAATTTTTCAGTATAGCAAAAAAAAAAAAAAAAAAAAAAAACAAAAAAAAAAAACAGATACAATCAGAGGTAATATGTCCAAATTGGATTGTATTTTTCAAGTATAGCCATCTTGCCAGTTTAGTTTAACAATCATCAAAACCACTATCAGTACTGTCTTGACATAAATACACCAGTCAACATAAATATTGACTATAAATACAACCAATGTAAAACACTTTAACTATAGCCCAGTGTTATTCCTATGAATAGAACCTCATGCCAAAGTATGAATAGAACCTCATGCCAAAGTATGAATAGAACCTCAAAAGTAGAACCTCATGCCAAAGTGAATAGAACCTCAAAAGTATGAATAGAACCTCATGCCAAAGAATAGAACCTATGAATAGAACCTCATGCCAAAGTATGAATAGAACCTCATGCCAAAGTATGAATAGAACCTCATGCCAAAGTATGAATAGAACCTCATGCCAAAGTATGAATAGAACCTCATGCCAAAGTATGAATAGAACCTCATGCCAAAGTATGAATAGAACCTCATGCCAAAGTATGAATAGAACCTCATGCCAAAGTATGAATAGAACCTCATGCCAAAGTATGCAGATATAAAACAAGATAAAAATCGCTTTTTTAACGTGCCCCAGAGCCATGCTGAAAAACAACTAATCATCTACAGAAGTTTTTTTAAACCATCCCAAAAATCAAAAATATTTCTTTTAACTTTGCTATTTACACTTGTTAGTAGCATACTAAAAACAATTAAAATATTTAGGAAGTTTGTTTTTTTTTTTTTTTCCATCTAATATTTGGACTGTGGTCTCCATGCCGTGTAGCCACAATTCTAAAATTTGTTTTTAATGCAAATACAGGTTGTAACAAATTAAAATAGATAAAATATAGTAAACTTTTAAAAATGAACAAATAAAAAAAAAAATTATTTAAACTTTATATTTTTTTTAAAGTAACTTTTTTTCTTTTAAACATTTCTATTAAATCATCAACAATTTCACATAGAATTGTTAATTTTTGCACTCAGAGTAACTTATCTTTTTATTTGTCCTCTGTGCATTCATTTACTATATAAAGACTATTTCCTACTATTTACAATCAAAATTTCTCTCAAGTTTTTTCATTTACAAGTAACTGCCCCATGTTGTGTCTAAATTTTCTATATTTGTTTCTCATTTTTTAAATACAACAACACAAACATTTATTAATGGTTAATTCAAGATTTTTAGCCAAAAATTGACAGGAGAAAATTCTTGTTTTAATAAAGCAAAATTATTTCTTCCAATCAAATCCATGTTTTCAGTATTTAAGAATAAATCATACAAATATCTATATTTAAATCCTTCAAAATTATCATTGTTTCATTTGAATTTCATTTGCCAGTTTTTTGGAGTGGGTATACTCCTACTACTAATGGTGAAAAGTAAGAATTTCTTTTCATTTTAAGAAATTACTTGTTTTTAAATATAAATATAATAGAATACTAATTACAAAGTAATATTTTATCAACTACAGGTCAACTTTAATTTTGATCCCAATTCCAAATATAACAAAGTTATTGTTAAATTAGTTTCATCTTTTTTTATTTTAAGAAAACAAATGCGTTATTAAAATAAAAATTCAGTTACAAATTATTCTTTAAAAGATTCAAATTGCAAATTAATTTATTATATATATATATATATATATATATATATATATATATATATATATATATATGTGTGTATTTATTTTAAATATGAAAATTTTTAATAAGATTATAAGAAATAGAAAAGTATCAACCTTAAAGATCAATTTCTATTGTCTAGAAAGTAACTATAAAATATAAAAAATAACAATTCTACTAAAAGTTTTAAATTTTTAAACAAAACAGATTGGCATGCTAGGCTGAAAGGTTAAAAATAGACTGGTGAATAGAATAGATACAAAAGTTCAAAATGACATACTAAATTGGTAGACAACATTTTGGGCTGAAAAGTTGCAAGATCTTTTTAGTTGAGGTTTTTGCTAAATTATTATAGTGCAGTGCAGTGATTGTTAGGAGTGAAGATACTTAAAAAAAAAAAAAAAAAGTGGGGGGGGAGAAGAAATCACCTGTTGTTTTCTTTTTGGGAAAGTTCCTCCTTCTTCTCCTTAGAAAGCTCCATTAATTCTTCAGTTTTATCCCTGGAATAGAAAAAAAACACCAGAATGAAAGGAAAAGTATTTCAGTGTTACACATACAACAACTGACTTTTAACACACTACTCCCTCTTCATTACCTAATTTTCAACCCTTCACAAAAATGGTCATATCTAAAACAATTAGACAAAGTTTGTACAGATTTATGAAGGGGTACTGAAAAACTCTTGGCCTCCTGACCCACTTTCGAAAATTTGACGAAACAATTTTTGGATGAGGATTCTTATCTCTATCAGGCCTAAAACTTTCAGCACCTCTCTGTATTTTTATATGCAATCTATGAAATCAAAAAAGTTCTTAAGCTTTTAACAGTAAAGACAAAGAAAAAAAAAAATATGTAGTTAGATTCTCAGAAGTTGGTGGCGCTGAAAACATTTTAGCCCCCACTCATATTCAATCCTTTGCATTAATCAACTCTAGTTTTTTGTTTTTAGTATGCTACTAACAAGTGTAATTTAGAGGATCTTGGGCACATGTAAAAACCAATATTTTTTTTTTAAGGATTAAAAGAAAAACAGATGCCAAATTTCCCTCTGGTCTTCAGATCTACCAACAAAAAGTATTAACCTGAAGTAGCACACGGAAAAAATATCTACTATGTGATAGTGTCTATTTTTAAACAAAACCTGACACTTATTTAGGATCTTTTTTAATAGAACAGTTTCATTTAAGCAAGATAGGATATTATAATACAAACATTTTTTCAGGGGATAAAGACAGCAAACTAATAAACTATGACCCATGATTTGATTGACCTCCTCACTCAGGTTTTTTAACTGATTATTATAACTTATGAAGAAAAAAAGGGGCCTTCTACACACACACACACACAATATATATATATATATATATATATATATATATATATTTTACAATTCTTTCATGTGCCAAGTCCTTTCAGGATGTAGGTGATCACGGCTCTCCACAACCTCCTGCCTTTTGTTGCTCTAAGTAACTTTTGATCCTGTGCTTTTTGTCCTTGACTTGCCATCCATTCACACAAACTCATGAAGTATGTTATTTGCTGCCCCACTGTTTCAATATGTTTGTGAGTGTTAAATTCTACAAGTCCTCTTTCCTTGTCATGTGCCAGAGAAATTTGAACTGCCTTATGATTCTAAGTTTCTTTGTTGCTCACATTTTTCTTAAAACTTCCTCATTGTTCACATGTTCTGTCCACAGTATTCTTAATATTTGTTGATAGAATCACATCTGTCAATTCATCATTTGTGAGGAGATTGTCCAGCATTCACTGCCATGTAAGAATTTACCTATTACAAAGCAGTTCAGCACTTGTTCCTGGGCAAATCTTTTTATCTCTTAGTATCTTGCTTAGTTTCTAAAAGACTCTTTGCTATTTCTATGCAACTTCAGATTTCTGTGCCACATTTACCATCATCTCTTACACATTGATATCAAAGACCTTTGGACTCCATGTGCTAAAAATTTTGAAGCTTGGAATTGAAAACTGATACATACCAAAACAAGGTAGACACTCACCTATAAAAGATCACACTACCGTCATCACAGATAGAAAGGGGCCACGTGCTTAGCGATGTTATTTGTGGATTCCAATCCAGTTCTGTCTGTATGGACAACACTGGAATATCACATGGAAAAGTTCCTCGTGCCTGTTGCCAAAGGAAAAAAAGCAAAACAATTTACTATTTTACACAACCAATAATGTGAGTAAAGTTTGAATGAAAATCCAAAGGAAGAGTAATTTCAAAAACTTATATTTAGACATGTTTCCCCGATGCATTGATGCCAACAGGAAAAGAATCTTATGCATAAGCTTAAGTTCAAAATCTTATAATAATAATATAGTTCAAATAAAAGCTCAATACTTTATAAGATCTTGTTTTCTTTTACTTCTTTGAATCATTTCTCTGTCAAGAGTTGCAATGTTTTCTCCATCTGCTTTATATATATATATATATATATATATATATATATATATATATATAATATATATATAAATAATAAAAAGGCTAAACACTAATATTAATATCATTATATTCTCACTCTGTCCTGAACATTGAGTTCTACCTGGATTCTATCCTCTTGGAAATTTATATATATATATATATATATATATATATATATATATAAAAATGCAGCTTTTACAATTAATAAAAACAAGGATCGTGTCAGTCAGTGAGTTAATGCCTTATTTAATCTGTTACATTAACTTTATTGAGGTTGAGTATCCTTTATCTGAAAATCCAAAACCCAAGTTTTTCATGTGTTGACAGACCACAAATGAAATATTTCCTCATCACACCCACAATGACATCATCAATGCTGTGCCCTCCTCCCTCCAGTTTCTCACACCTGATGTAGAGTTTGGTGTTGTATTTATATATATCTTTTGTTAAGTAGTGATTGTTTTTTTTCGTGCATGGAAAGAAAGTATGAAACATTATTTTAAGTGAAATTTCACCACTTAAAAATCCATGTGAACATCATTACCTGTATTTGTATGTACAGAAAATTTATTAAATTTTACATAAAACTAGATTCAGGGTATATTTTATTTATATAAAACTATCTTCAGGTTTTATGTACAAGCTGTGTTATGAAATGCAAAGGGATATTGTGTTTATGCTTGGGTTCCATTCCCAAGATGCCCCATTTTATACACGCTATATACAAATTAAGTCGCCTGTATTCCAATATCCAAAACCTAAATCACTTCCAGTCCCAAGAATTTTGGATAAAGGATTCTCAACCTATAAGCCAATCAGAGATGTTTCGCAGCTTCTCAGGTGAAACACGGCAGTTGAAGCATTGATAAGAACTTGTCCTTGACAACTTACACCTGTACTTTGTTTGGCAGCCATTACTAGAGGTAAACCGTACCAAATTAGGCCAGAAATTTTATTTAACCAATGAAAGCATAAACACCATTACAGTATAAAACAATTAAGAGGTGATGCCACATAAAATGCCACCAGTGAACTAATGTGAGGATGACGAGAAATTCAAATGTCTGCCCAGAATTTTGTCCAGATTAAAAAGCACAAGGCTATCAGCTAATGAAAAAAAAATTGGCTTTTACTTGTAAAAACATACAGAAAAGGTTTCCAGCAAAAAACGAAAATGCGTTTCAAAAACAAAAATCTTGAGAGGGGAAATATTTCAAATTGCATTTTATACAAACATAAGGCATTTTGGTAGAAATATTTCAACTTCTCAAAATGTGAAGCTGTTGAAACTAAAGCCAAAAAATAGCATGATTTTTGCCAAGTTGAATACACACTAAAAACAAATTAGTTTCATCAAAAGATACTCAAAGCAATACATAGCAGATCTAACCCAAGCCAGATGTCTCAGTGCTTGAAACCAAATAATAGCTAGGATTTCAAATGCTAATTTTAAATGCAGGTAAATCCTTTCCATTTGTAAGACGAGTATAACATACTCCCATTTGACCATGTCCAAAACAAAGTTTCATTGACACCTCCAACAGTGACTGGCAGACTAAGATCATTATTACAGTAGGAGTTTGCTTGCAACTAAGTGTCCCAATTATCAAATCAAGTTACAGATAAGTTTGGGTGATGGCTCTTGATCAAAAGCTAACTAGTCTCACAATCTGTTGAGAATTCAATCTTCATTGGATGCTGCATTATTTTAAGACATGCACCAGACTAAAAAGAAAATTAACAGCTTTAAATTTTCTTAATTTATATTTTACAAAAAAATATCTTGAAATTAATTATGAGTGTAAAATTATTTTCATGTCAAGTCCACCTGTTAATTACTAATATAAAATGAGAATCTATAACTTACCTTAGCAAATTCAATATTTTCTGTAGGAATCCCACTCAACTCATGCAACTGTACAATGAAAAAAAAATGCCATTTATCCCAAAATTACAAAGATACAATTCAAAATTTTGTCTAATTCAACACATTCCAAATATATGTTGGCCTCATGTTGCCAGTACAATCTTTTAAATGTTACATTTTGCTGCAAGACATAGTATAAAAGACTGTGTAAGGATTGATAAAATCAAGGAATGGTTTGGGTTGAAAACATATCAAAACAAGATTGAAATTGTAATAATAATAAACCTGACAAATTCATGGTTGCTGAAGAGAGAGAAAGAAGAAAAAAAACAGCTTCCAAGTGTGAATGTTACTAAAACTGATGCAGTGATAAAAACTTGTGAACTAAACTGATTGAAAGAAAATATGACTGATAAAAAAGTCACAACCAAATTATTGGCAAATTGGAGAGCAATTATGAATTTGCATTTTTTTTTTTCCTTAATGATATTCAGCTGCAAATACAATGAAACAAGACCAAAGGTTAGTAAATATCTCCTGTCACAAGAGCTGTGAGTTTGAGTAACAATTTCCAAACAGAAGAGCCTGTTAAGAAAATAAATAGATCCCTTTTAAAAGTTTGTTTCCTAACAGCACAATAATTATACAATGTTCTTTACTGAGGTACAAAATTTTCCATATAAAATTACCAATAAATTGTATTTAATCCTTTGAGCTCTGACCACTGCTTTAATGGTGGTAGAGAAAAATGGCTTAATGCCCAGCCACTGGTTGAACGGCGAGTAAACACTTGTGTTGTGTTTTGCTATTGGTTGTCTTATTTGGATAGACTTGGACACAAAGAAAGAATTCTGGTAATAAAGTGAAGGCATCCAATCATGTTCTCTCCCTGCTCCCTGTATAATGTTTTATATTTCTTGTATCTATTTTTATACCTACCATGAAACATTACATAACAATTATTTGTGAAATTTAGGATCAGGAGATCAGGCAAAAGGGTTAAAAGGGATAAGAATTCATTGAATTAATTGGGGTAAAGTTTTTTTTTTTTTTTTCTGTTTTCGATAGAATGAGAGATTTCTTTTTTTATTTCGGGGCAGAAAAAACATTGCGAATTCTTTAAGTTCAAAATACAAATCCCACCAGAAGTGGTTATGTGGCACAATAGGTTCCCCATATAACTGCCTGAACATACTCAAAGTCAAGTGGACCCTAACTGAGGTTATTGGAGTCAGAAATGTCAGGGTTTTTTTTTTATATATATATATATAAAGATATAGAAAGATCATTTTTGAAGCCTAGGGTTCAAAGCACCAAACCAATGAGTGAAGAAGAAAATAATGAAATAAAAAAAGGAGATCAAGTGACACTTCATCGGAAACCAGATGTTTCTGCTGGCACTCCTATATAAGTAGGACTCTGGGTTTAGGGCTAGACAAAGAGAAGAGCTGTCCGTCCACCCAGTCACATTGGTAGCAGTCACTCGTCTGGAGTAAGAAGAGTCGAAGACACCTATATGTCATGTACCTACTACCAAATAGAGTACTAGGTCCAATCAAGAAACCTAATTGAAAGAGATACCAAAGTGTCTTCATTTTTTGATGTTCATTTCACAACCCCCTTTCTTGTGAACATACTCCAAGTCTTTGTACATGAAGGTGCAACAAGAAGCTAAACAACTTGAGTTGGGGAGGGGGGGTCGTTTTCCATTTGTCTGATCAGGGAAAGACAGAGGAGGGCTCATATGTTCACAGTTACAAAGTTAGAATTAGAAATGTATACTGTACACTCCTCACTAGGAGTCCTAAACTAAGTTTAATGGATATCAAATAATTAAAACTAAGAAGGTTAGTTATTATCTCCATTAGAGACAATTGCCATATTTCAATGAGATTTGGAGAAGAAAAAAAGAAAAAGAAAAAAAAGCACAATGTAAAATCAGAAGATAACTGGTGAGCTACAATTTTTATTTCAACTTGTTCAGACCTTCATAGTTAAAAACTGTCATGGCACATACACAGGATCAAATCATCCCCATTCCCTTTGTATTCCATTAGCAAGAAGAAACTTCCATACAGATAACTTCTTCCCAAGTGCTGCTTACTTTGTGAAGCAGACTGTCAAGAGGATGTTTCCCCAATCACTACAATCTTCTTCAAGCAAATCTGTGTAAAAAATTCCAGGACTATGTTAAGAAGTTTCAAGGACTGAAACTGGCATGTAAGTAAATGGTCACCAATTTCAAAAAAACAAACTTAGTGATTTATCTTTTGTTTGACAGATGAGATGTTCAAAGAACAGCTACAGTTGGTTCTAATAATTCTTGACACATGGATCAGTTGAAAGCAGTGAAGAAATCAAAGTGTTGAAGGCTGAAACACAATTGAATGCAGACTTGGTTATGTTACATATTTTGTGTAGCATTCTACACAGTTTAGAGTTCCACTACATTTGAGAACTTTGAATTACACACTTTAATTCTTACTGCTAGACATTTCAGCTACTCATGGTTTGTGAATAACAAACATTTTTGACTACTGTACATTTCCTGTGAAGTATAATGGGTTTTAATGAACAGAACTGCAAATAGAAATTTTCACAAAATGACTACACATTTTAGCTACACTTACTACTCATGGCTTTTGTTGTACATGGCACAGAGCACAATGTTGTTAACATTTTTCAGTTCATCTAGTTTAGCATTTAGCTCAGCTTCCAATTTTGATATTTTTATGAAATTGTCCTTTGCACATCTCCACATGGCATTGAACTTTGAGTTTTCTCTGCATCACTGTCAACTGGCTTGAGCAAATCTTGTGTGAATATTTCAAGCTTGTGTTTTTTGATCTTCTGTTCTTCAATTTCCATAAGCATGGATTTCTGTTTTTGTCCAGCTACTTCTTCCTGCCCCTTTTTTTTTCTTCTCCTCAGCCTTAAGGTCTTGGTTGTATGCTGTTCTGGCATTGGAAGCACAGCAGAGAAGAGTCTTAGTTATGGGAACATCCCCGGCACCTCCAACTGTGGCCAAATAGTCCATGATAATGCACTGTGCAACCAAAGTCTGCTGTTTCATATTGTCAATGAAAATGTCCTTATTAACTGAGAAACCTCTCTCCACTGAGGCCTGTCCATGAGAGAGTGCCAGCAATCTTTAAAGTTTTTGATATTCTTTTTTGTTAGACAAAAGATCTTTAAAAAATTTTTTAAATCTTTAAACAAATCTTTATCTTTAAAGAATCTTAAAAAATAATCTTTAAAGCCAATCAATAAAAGCCAAATAAGTTTTAATATATTTCATTTTTTTCACTTATAACAAAAGCTAAACATACAAGTCATTATTAGTCTGTAAACTTTAAAAATAACATTCTTCTTATTTTTCAAAGACGCATTTTCTATCCTAAGACATGTCAAAAGCACATTTTCTATTCTATCATCCTTTGTGTTTACATTTTCTTTTAGCCAAATTTGATTATCAAGATTGTTGCTTTTGGTAACAAGTTAAATAAACTTAGTTTACATAGATACACACTGATATAGGATATGTAGAGTATCTATTTTTTTTCAGCATGAATTCACCCACTGCTGACAAGAGTGTAGTAGCTAAGAGAAGACACGCATTCATATTCTTTTGCGTCACACCTAGACAAGAAAATGCAGAAGTAACGAGGTCATGAACTCATTCTAAACAAGGAAACAAACTACAGTTCACAATAATTGACAACTTAAGACAACTTTAGCCTGTAAAATAAGCCAGATTTCTGAGATTAGGCATTTTGACATTCATGAATTGAAAAAGAGGATGTGTAAGCAGCACAATTTTGAAAATTCCTGGGCTTTTCAAGGAGCTTTTGGACCATTGCTTCTTTTCCAGTACAAGGTTTCCAGGGCTTGTACGAACCCTGTTCAAATATAGAGTCAGCTATTATATATCCAACATATCCTCATAATCTGCCTCTCTTACATCCATAAAACAACCTCATTGAGTAACACTACCTTCAGTAGCTCTTGGGCCTTGTGTAAAAAAAAAAAAAAAAACAAAGAAATAAAATATATATCACAAAGATTTCAATTATATATTTAAAGATTCATTTTTTAAAAGAAAAGAGACACTTGAATAAAAAAAGAAAAAATTGAGGTGAAAGGTTAATTGATAAAGGAATATTTGCTCTTACCTTTTCTTTTAAATGTTCAGTAGTCTGCTGAGACAAAATTACTTCCTGAAAAGGTTCCAATTTGTAGGTGGATGTTCGCCAACGCCTGACAAAAAGTGACAGTTGGGATGTAGACTTCACCTGCTCAGGACCTGAACACCAAAATAAAGCCAAAGTGGCAGGAAGATAAAAAAATTAACCAAAAATTCAAAGACATGAGAGAAGAGAAAACAAAACAATAAATAGCAATATATTTAGAAAAGATTTCCATTTAACTAAAACTCTTATAGAAGCTGCCCTTCTTCCCTTCAACTATTGCAGTCATCATTATTTAGATTATAAGAGGTTAACCCTCCCCCACATCTGACATCTATTTTAGGATGAATATCATATGGAATTATTATTTAATAGTTTTCTGAAAGCAAATTATATTTAAATGATTTATTGAAAGCTGAAATTAAAATGTTCAAGAAAAAGATTTTTAGAATTTACCTTCAAGGACCTCAAGGAACACTTCCCAGTTGGCATATATTGTAATATCTTCTTCATAAAGCTGGTTGTCTAGGTACACAGTCCCTGCATTTTTCCAAGTTTTCTTCCGTAATCGACACCTAAATTGGAAAATCAAAGTTATCTTTAAATAAACAATTTCTATCCAAACAAATTTAAATTCTGAATGGTTACTGTGTTAATTTTTTCTCTCTAGACGTTGAACATTCTAAGACTTAGAATCTAAGTTATTGAGAAGCTTGAAGACAGGTACAAAAAAGTTGTATACGAAATGTTGATTTTTATTACAATGAGTAAAACCAATTGGTTGAACTGTTTGAAGAGATTTATAGTATTTATTAGAAAAAATAAAAATTGGGCTGTATTAATTGAAATAAAAACTAACCTGCTTATTTAGGTCTCGTAATTTTCTTGGTCAGGAACAAGGTTAATTTTCTGTTGCAAAGGGGAATAACTGCGTACAAATTGCGTCCCTTGTTTTCAAAATTTTATTTTTAAATACTTTAAGTGATTTTCAATCTTTTTTTGCCCAATACACCATTTTTATTATATATCATTCCTCCCGTTTCCAAGATTTTCCAACTAAAAAAGGTGCATTCCAAATAATATAAATCATTGAAAATCTTCATTCGTTTCATATTAGTACATTTATATAGATTATTTTTTTTTATAGAAGAGTTTTACAAATTTAATAGCAATAGAAAATGTTGGTGGATTTTTAAATTTGAATACATGTACAGTAATTTGTTTTAATTCATAACTAATTATTAAATAAATAAACTGAAACATACTTCAATAAAACAAAAGGTTCAAAAGAATGCCAGGGTGTTGTATTTCAAAAAACAAAATTCTTAAATAAAAAAAACAAAAAAAAAACATTTCCTCCACTGAAACTTTGAAATTACCCTCTGGGAAGAAGGTATCAGAATCTCCCCTGGTTGAGAACCAATTCTAACGAAGGACATTGGCGATCATGGCTCTCCACAACTTCCTATCTTCTGGAGCTCTAAGCAATGTTTTTTCCCTTGCTATCCTTCTACACAAGTTCATTAGTTACAGTTATTTACTGTTTCTCTCTTCTCCTCCCCTTGACCTATGTATGTCCTCCAAATGTCAAATTTGCCAGGCCCCTTTTCCTCATACTGTCTCTTTCTGATTCAAATGGACAAATGTCCTTTTCCTTAAGACATTTTCGTTGTTCATGTATTCCATAAAGACCAGTAATTGGTGACTAGTGTTTCTGCAATCAAAACTCCCACATTATTTTCTCCAATTGTTAAAAATCAAAATCAATAAACTTCAGATGTGATTTGAACTTCTATCTCTTACCCTTTAAAATCTGTCTTATACACGATTAGTTCTAATTTCAGACATTTTTCCTTTCAAAAATATAATTTATGTTTGGCAACAATATCTAAGAAATTTTATTGAGAATGTCATTCATTTTACATTCAAACAATCTCAAAACTTAAAAGAATGTCAAATTTGTAAATATTGTGAGTAAGTCTCAGGTTTTATAGAATTTTCATCAATGCTGAACTTGTTTTCTGTCAAATTAATTTTTGTTAACTCCAAAAAAGGTTTGATTAAAAAGAACTGATACAGTCAGTATGTTTAACTTTTTTTTTTATTGTATTTTTCCTATTTTCAAATAAGTAGTTGTGTATTGGGATAAAAATTGTAGCTAAACTGTCTGAAGTTCATGTTTTTGTAGTCTCAGTCATTTGCAGGAATCAATAAGGTGCTTGTGCAGTAGGCAAGATTCTTTTGTCTACATCCTGGTATTCTTTGGAAATCTGAAGATTTGAAATAGTCACAGTGATGTCATGTTTAACAGTTACTGGTAGCAGTGAGGGGGATGAGAACACCCAGCTTATAAAGAAAAAAATGAGGTAATGTTAATCCTACAAAAAGGATCCCCCGCCCCAGAAGTGAATTATATACTAAAACATTTAATTTGAAGTAGGTACCTCCACGAAACTGAAGAAAAAGATTTTTCGTTTTTTATAATTTTAAATTGAATAATTTACAAAGTTTTAAATCTTTTAAAATTCAGTTTCAATGTGATAATTCATAGGAAATTTTGTTAAAACTATATTTACTAATCATATATTGTAAAGCTTATTACAACCTGATGCCGTTTTGTATGTGCGATATATGTGCAGAATTTGTAAGTATGGATGTACAAACTGATAAATCTATCATTAAAAGGTCATGTGTTTTAATGGTTGTCCCTTTCAAGGAAAAAAATTATATGAACTTTATCATCTGTTCCACCATACTTAACTATGAACATGATTGGCGGTCAATCAGCTGTCAATACTTGGATTAAAACCTCAGAAAAACAAGACCCCATGGTTAAAAAATGCTTGTATACAATATTTTATGCTATAAGTAAATCATGTTTAAAATCAGATTAACTTTAAATTTGCTAATTTTCTTCAAATAACGTTTCAGAAATATATATTTTATTATTGCAAGATTTTTAAAACCAATAACTTTTGTTTCCAAATGCGCCAAAAATAGTGTTTTTTATTTAAATTTCTTACTGAAAAAATAAATAAAAATCGATTCCAATCAATATAATTTGTTTGAAATACACCACATTATTTTGCTGACTGGAAATAGTAAATTTTAAATTAAAGCTTCAAGAAAGTTTTTTTCATTTTTAAAAATTCATTTTAAAATTTACATATACCAAATTAGTGCAGTTACCTTATTTAAAGCATTTTGGATTTTGTTTTTCTTTTTAATGTCTGCAAACTGTATATGACTTGTAAAAACATCACCTTGTTTGAAGTGGTTGGCAGATATCTTAGTTAATCATTCATAGAAATTAAATTAGAACGAAATAAAAAAAAAAAAAAAAAAAGAAACCTTTATTTTGAACGACTTCACCAGTTCTGTTATCAAAATACAGAAACAGCTTTGTTTTACTTCTCTTTATCCTTTTTTTTTTTCAGTTTATTTACTTTCTAGATGGGTCACCATTGACTACTTCTGGTTAATATTATCTATCACCAGCACAGTAAAAGCATGAGCCCAAGTATGTGATTCCCAGTTTTCTCATCCTCTTAATCTTACCACCGGCAACAATAGCATCGCTTTTATTGTAACCTTTAAAACATTTTCTTTCTACATTTTGCTCTGTTTTATTAATGCTATTATTTGAACATTTGTTTAATGTAGCCAATCTTTTATACGTTTATGTTTGTATTTCTCTATGCTGACCCCCCCGCACACACATACGTTCACCTCTTACAAACTGTTCCCAAATGTAACTTTCTTCCTTTCTGGTAAGTTATCAAAGCAACTTTATAGATATTCATGTAAACAAAGTATTTGTTACCTTCCTTTACCCAGTTAGATAAATGGTTTTGCTTTTATGTTCAAGCCTTCTTTAAGCATCAGCTTAGGGTAAAAATCAGATCTGATAGAAAGCATTTGATTTCAACAGATTTCAGTGAAAGGTGGATGATGGAGGCAAGCCTGGTTTGTGTGAACAGGATTTGCCTTGATTTTCTCTTGTAAGTCCCCTTGATGCAACAGGTTGGTCTCCTGTGAACCCTCTCCTGGTTAAGTTAGACAATATTATGTTTTCCTAGTTAATGTGAATAAGTGTTGTTCCCAGCATTCTCTTTTGTTATAACCCATGTTGAGATTCCCAACCTCCCCAGTTTGTTTTCGTCCCCTATTTTTCATCACGACTGGGTCAGCCTTTGATTTTCCCCCATTGTCATTTATTTTTACCCTCCCCCATTCCATTAGTGTGTGTGCTTCTGGATTCAGTCTATCAGCAGAATACAGCCGCCTCTCTTATTATTTTGAGGTGGTGGACGAGTCCTGCTAACATTTGTTTTATCTTTGTGTTACATTGTTAGTTCATTTGCTGGGTTCATCCTCACACCATCATTTCATGATTCATGAAATTTTTATATATTTTGAACTTTCATCAAATTTTTATGTCATGGGGTATTTTGTAGGTTCCCTGTGAATATGCGGTATTGTGGTCTATGCAGGATTAAGGTGATGGATGAACTCTTGTGGTGTATGTGTAAATTGTAATGAATGAATGGGGCGTGAGTGATTAACTAGGACTACAGTAGCTAATGAAGACCAGCTTCTCCCACTTTCCCCTTTGGCCTTGTGCCACAATTTTGTATTTTTACAAAATAAATACACATATTCCTTTTTATCCTTTTGTTTGTGTTATTCGGGCAGAACTAGTCTTATATGTGCATTTCTTTTTCTAGTTTTACTCATTTGGCTTTTAATAAATCTGCTGATAAACAGGACTTCGTCTTCAGAGTCTTAATTGCATTAATGCTGTCTTGCGTTACACACACGTATGAGACAGATGCGCTCTAGAGGCAGAACATGAGCATCAACACCCATCAGTATGTACAGGTCATCATACTCAATGTATTATTACTGTGATTGGAGATGCTGATCGCAGAAAGTCCGAGTTGTACAATAATTATATAAAATGTAATAAAACTGAGACGTCTTTTGACATCTATGTCTTTAGAAGGAAAACTCTAATTTTAAACCTCTGCTGCCTTGTGGCCATACCCAATCATGGGAAAGGCTTCAGGAGTAAACCCTGAGGACAAATCTCGAACTGGAGTCTCTAAGACAGTCTGTGGAAATTCAAATTCCAAGTTGGTGTCTGGCATGGAATAATTCACTTCAGCCTGTCAGTCTTTAGCCTTGGGAGGCAGTCTTTCTACGGATGGTGTCTCAGCAAAAACACCCAGATGTAGGATTTGTCATCCCACATTTTGAATCAGATACCAAAAGAACTATAGTTCTGACCGATCATAAGTTAAAGGCTTATGATGAGGATAATGATGATGATGTCTTTACAAACCAAAATATTTGTCTTCTATGATTTCCTACTTGCTGTGAGAAATTAAAGAAAACATCAATTTCATTACTGACAAATTCTAATTATTTACATCCAGACTATTATCCTCATCTTTGTTGTTTATTGTTATTACAAAGCTTTGGCCATAATGCTGCTAGGCTAACTTCAGAGGCCTCAAACCTGGATAACCTTCAGAGATATTTTCAAACTACACCCTGAACCTTCTTCTGTGTCGAAGGATATTTTTTTTTTTTTTTAAACTACTGCTTTGTTATTGCTATCCCTGTTTCTATGGAGTGAACTACCAGGGCTAGGGATTGAACTCAATTACTATACCAGATTCACATACAAATGATGATGACATTAGTCTGAATGTAAATAATGATAGCACCTTATCCAAGAAATTCAGAAAATGACCAATTAACTTTAGACTGAAATTAAACTAAGCCATAGAAATGTCTAAAAAGAACATTACCACAATATGAGGAGTAGGGGTGTCAGGCAGGTTAAAAATGAACTCACCTTGATAAAGGAATATCAAGATTACACTGTTCCTTGATTTCTGCCAATATCTGTTTCTTTGACTCAAGAACACTCATTTTCTTGGCAAAAATTGTTTCAATAAGGAATTTGCATGGCTTGGAGAAGAAAAGAAAAAAAAAGAAAAAATAATTTAAACAAAAATTTTGGCCAATTCAAAACATTCTATAAACAAAAAGAAACTGATCACAAAAAAAAAAAAAAGGTTGGGTGAGTGTCTACCACCATCAACCATATTTTTTATAAAATCCATATTAGAAAAATTATTATTAAATACAGAAAATGATGAAGTAATGGAAGAAGTGGATTTTAAAAATACTTATAATCAAGGAAGATAGTATAAAAAAAAAAAATCAATAAAAGTAGGTTTTATATATATATATATATATATATATATATATATATATATATACACACACACACACTTTGTTGAAAACAACTGACAAGTTGTTGTGGCTGTTTTTTTTTTTTTTTTAAATAATTTAATGTTTGTTTAATTTTTTTTTCCTTTTCAGGATATAAATTATATAAAAAGTGTCCGAATGTTTTCCAAGCACTTTTGGCTATACTTTTAGCCATTATCAAGGATGAATTTTACACATAAAACATTTGATATATTCAGTTAAAAATAAAATTCATCCTTGATAATGGATAAAAGTATAGCTGAAACCACTTGGAAAACATTTAGACAATTTTTATTGGGGTTAATTGACCATCTTTGATTGTTTTGGATCCATTTGTAGGGTCTCTAATTAAATGATTTAGGAAATTACAGTTGTTTTGTTTTTAATTTTTAGGAGATTTGTGTCTTGTGCAGTTTAATATCACACCTGGGTTGGTTGTTTCAATTTTGTAGTTTGTTATCCAAGTCTGTGAATAATCCTGTTTTGTGTTCATATGATTAATTAGCATTAAATTTTATAGTCTATTTACATGATATATCTTTTGGGGTGTACAGTTGTTTGTATAGTATGTATATAGTTTGTAGACACTTCTGCTTTATTTATTTAGGAGGCAATTTTGTTTCATAGATACAAATTCTATTTAACCCATAGCTGGGACCCTGACAAGCAAGATTGTGTTGTGCATGAAACTCAGAGTTGTGCTACCAGTGAGGGATAATATGTATATTTATTAATATATACTTAATAACTGTTATAGTACATCAAGTACTTTTTTATTAACACAAGCAGTGTGTGTGTGTGTGTGTGTGTGTCTATATATATATATATATATAAAAATCAGAGTTGGACAATGTCAATTCCATATTTTACACCTAATTAATGTTAACTGATGTTAATAATGTTAAATATTCTCCAATTCAGTGACTACTAAATTGACTAAAAGAATATAGACTAGTTTTAAAACATTTACAAGTCATAAAAATATTGTTACAGATTTCTTGTACACTGATAGCTACATAGGTCACAATTATAAAAATGTTTTTTCTTGTAGGTATAATTTTATTTACCTCTGGGTCATTCACTAATAGTTGATAGACTTTGACACGATATTCACCAGGGCGAAGGGCACGACCAAGTTTAATGTTCAACTGAAAATAAATACATGACAATTATACAAAAATTTTTTTTGTTTTTAAATTATCAAAAGCAATTTAAAAAATCCCACAAGCTGCATTTATTAAATAAACAGATATAAACTCTTGCATCAAACAATGCTTACACAAATCAAGCACATTAAAAAAAAAAATAAATGACATTGTAGCCATCCATCAACTTTTCACTGACTGGACAGCTTCACTCCTTGATGTATTTTGATTCACATTTACATCAGTGTGAACAAAAACAAAGAAATACCAGGTATATATTCAACAAAGGTAACAAAAGGTGACATATTGATGCAGCAGGAAAAGAAAACACAGATCTTATTCTTTACTCATGGATTCACCAGGCAAAGACTTGTAAGAAGTGACACTTTGGACATCTTTGCTACTTCCATCCTCCTTTCAACCATCAAGAACTCCAACTAGCCCTCTGTCCATGCCTGACTGCAACTGTCTATATCACAACAGACAGATTGTGACTGGCCTCTGTCAACTATCTCCTACTCAGCATGTACATTATAATGGATCATGTCACCCCCTGTCAACAAATGGCTTCTTACTCAGGATCCTGAATTGCAGCCTACAACTGGAATTCTGTAGCTTCCGGTAGAGTACCACTTGATCTTAAGTTTGATTTTTTTTTTTTTTTTTTCTTACTTGTAGACAGTGGGTGGTTGCTTTGAAGAGCTCACTTCTAAATTTTATTAACTATGGCATCATAAAACTTGCTGACAATTCAAGCCCAGATAAAATCATTTAAATCCAGTTTCACTTTGTGAGTGCCCTAAAGCCAATATCTAGTGTAGGCCCATTCTTTTTCAGAGCTTTGTAGAGAATATCTTCTATGCTTACAGTTTCCTTAGCATGCTGAACCAGATTCTCAGATTTTAATTGATTATTCATATTTTTTTTATTTGTTCTTATCTAAGTTTTAATTGGCAGAATGAAAATCTTGTCTAAAAGGTTGTCTCAAGTGTTACAAAAAGCAGTTCCCACACCAACTCTGACCATTATCCAGACAGACAAACCAAAAAGTGAGAGAGAAAGGTCTCAAAATAACCAACCTTTCACCAATCTCTGCAATGAACTTTGTTTACCATCTGGGATTAGTCTTCAAGTTAGACACCAGAAACTTTTTAATTTCAAACAATTTTTATTTTCATATTTAGTATCCATTCTGCTTATATACTTGTAAAATGTTTTCAAGTACAAGTCATTTTAGTTAAATCATTCTCAAGGAACAAGAGGAGTCATACAAATAAAATTTCTATAACAAGTTTCTATACCTACTACATTATAATATATATATATCCCGTACACACATAATATATGGATCATAGCAGGTACATTGAGGAATCAAAATTTCTGCATCAAGAAGAGAGATTTAAAAATTCATCAGGGAAACTAATCACAATAGTGTGTGTGTGCGTTAAGAAAATCAAGATTTACTTATTTGCAAGACTTATCTACTAGATGAACTCTTGGCAAGCAAAGAGTCAACAAAAGCCCATCAAAATTGTTGACTAGTCACTGCAAATGGCCAGAGAATGTATCCTCCAAACTGATGCAGCAACAAAAACAGTGAGATCAACAGACCAAACAATTCAAAATTACAAAAGTTATCTTTAGAAAAGGGAAGATTTAAAAAAAGGTTTTTTTTTTTTTATCTTGACTGAAAATATATTAACTGGCTAGCAGCTTATCTAAATAATCAATGAATTTATTCTTTGACAAAAGGTTTGCAAGAAAAGTAAATGAAATATTCTAGGGAAATTTCATCAGTTATCCCTAATCCTTAGCAATATTGTTAACTCCCCCCCAAAAAAAAAACACAGATTTAGTATCTCAATTTTCCCAATTATAAAAAAGTGGCTTTCCTCTCACCCCTTAAAGTCCCGTTAAGGGCCTGTCATATTGCCATAATCTAAATTAATATCTTGCACAGAGATTAAAGATTGAGCAATAGCAAAGAAATTCTAAATCTACATATCAAAAAGTTGTACATTTCTGTTCTTATAAAATCCACATGACTTAAAGTTCACTGCCCAATTTCTTTCCTTGTCAATCAACATGGGACCGGTCATATACAACTCCAAAGACCAATATGTGGTTATTGGATGAATTTTGATTTGAAATTTTCACTGTATAAAGTTTGATTAATATTCATCACTGAATTAAGTGCATTAACAAAGAATATTATGTAGAGAATATTTGATGCGTAAAATAAATGCCTTTTTTAGTTTCATCATTCCTGAAAAATTCTTTTGAGAGAGAGATTTTATAAATTTATTTACTGGCTGCTTGATTAATGAATGCCAAATATTTCCTTATAAGGAAATGGCTACTATTACTATTAAGCTTTGTATTCTTTGTTTTGTTTTTTTTTTCAAAGTTGACAAAAATTATTTAAGTGCAAAGTTCAATGATTAATGCTATAACAATGTAAAGATGGGATCCACAAAAATTTTCTTTTTTGATCATTAAATATATATTTTTACCTTTCCATCCTCCAAGAAGGATAAATTTTCCAGCAACTGTGTGCTCTCAAATTCCTGATTGTTAGAATATACACGAAAAACCTATAAAGTAAAAAGAATATCAAATACTTAACTCTGTTTTGTTTATCAAACGGTGAATCTGTAATTGTCATCAACACATTTTGTATAAAGACTACATATTTTAATTATCATTGTTGTAAAAACAAACACAATAACAATAGGGATAACAATGGGAAAGAAAAAAGAATTACCATAAGGAGGTAAACTGAAAGAAGAAAAAAAAATTAAACAAAAACTAACTAGCTGTTCTTCCTCACTCTTCAGAGTTCAATTGAGGAATAAAAAATGGTATATGCACAATGATTAAAATATAGGTGGGAAATACCAAAGACAGTTATAATAAATGCATCTCGAAGTTAAACAGTAGTTAACCCAAAAGCCACACTTTAGGCTTACAAAGTGAGAGGGCTGTAGAGACTTTATATATATGTAATAGAAATAACAGCTGATCACTCGTATTTGCAGAAACCCATCTACTAAAGCAGCTAGCCAATCCCTATTGCAAATGCCTTATGCAGTTTATACTGTAACTATGTTAAGCAGACCTTAGTCTAGGAATGAGTGTTATCTAGTGTGATCAACAATTTGAACAAGGCCAGTACATTTAAGCCCTCAGTCACAATGACTTGTGACTTTGTGCTAGCATAGCTAGCGACGGCCCCTAAATATATATGTTTCCCCAGAGGAACTCTGAATGTGCCTTGCTCAGAACATATTTGGTATAAGGCAAGATATACCTAAGATTAATTAACAGATGTTCAGCTATCACCACAGCTCTAGATGGATTGATGTACATGATCAAATTGGCTTTCTGGAATTTTGACTGGAACATGAAGACCTATTCTTACATCTAACTCTTGATCAATTCTATCAATATAGTCAGTGTCACACAGAAATTTAAAAGTATAAATAACTGAATTAATCTGGTAAGAAGGCAGAACATCCTTACAATTATCATTTATTGGACTGGCAGAACTTTGAAACAAGGGGAGAAAAAACATCATTAAAAAATTGAATGGCAAAAAGTTGAATTCTACTTTAGAAATTACAGATGATGTTTTTCTTTCATATCAATTAAAGGCAAGTTAAAATAAAGATTCTCCAGGCATTGGTTGGTTACAATTTTAGCATTAAATGAACAAAAGTTCTGGCAAAAGAGGAAAGCTCCATAGACAGAGAGAAAGAAAAAAGAAAAAAAAGAACCAACCATGCATGTGGTTCAACAGCTGATTTCACAATCCACGTTCTACAGTGGATGCAATATCACACAATTTATCACAAACAAATTTCCCAGAAGGTGGGTATGGCTAAGGGTGAGCCATCTCCCTAGAATTGATTGACTGTGTAAATTGCTGAATAAATCACATATTGAAATTTGGTAACTGAATTGAATAGAACCAGTGTCAGGCGAAATAGCACAGAAATAGAACACTGTCTTGTGTTTCCAACTGAAATCCATATTAACATCTCAGCTCCTTGCCATTTTCAATTAAAAATCTAACACCATTGAATTAATGTCTAATCTTGGAGATCATAAGAAAAGAGATTCATCATAACTCAAAAAGTTCTGAGTAAAAGGAGAAATATGTGAAGAGAAAGATAGATTTTCATCCAATATTCCAATACTTTAATAAAAAAAAAAACAAATAAGAAAGTCCAGTAAGTATTGTAAAATAATGTTAGGGTGTTCTGGGTGAGTGGTAATGATGCTTCAAAATCATGCCTGACCCCAAGGTTATCATCTAATGAAGGCTTTGTTATTGTTTCAAGCCAAATGGGAATTACTTAAATACACATGTTTTTAAGAGCATTTGTATAGTGGGTGCAAAGCACAAACCACACGCACAATAACATTCATGAAAATAACTTTGTAAAAATAAAAATTGATTATTTAATCTTCAAATTTAGAGGAAAAATCTTTCCATATGTTTGCATGCAAATCTATAAAATAATTGTACCAAGAAATCTTTGTCTGGTGTCAAAAAGTTAGCCGAATATCCTTCCTCAACAAACAAAAGTTGAGACTTTTGTGGCCAGAATTCAGACATAACAATATTAACAAGAAAATTAATTCTTAGAATGCTTGATAAATTCAAGAAAGCAATGGAATTGTGAAAGGAAACAGAACTAGCATTCACACTTCAGTCAAAATAAAAGTAATTTTTTTCCTTTTTTAAAACATTTCACCTTTTTTTTTGTTTTACTAAAATATTTAACAAGTTTTGTTTTTTATTATTGTAGAATAATTGGCCATGGTTAAATGGAATTAGCAGAAATTTCCAACAAACAGAATTGACAAAGTTTGCAATAAACTATAAAAAAAAGAAAGCACAGGGCAAAAATAATACTGAGAAAACAATAGATATGCAAGACAAAAGTAGGCAAAGCAACAGTAAATAAGGCAAAAAAGTTCATAAACTGAAAGTGGTGTTAACACCCAAAAAGGTTACAAACAAGTGATTGCATGATTGCAGTATTCTGACTTCAAGAAAAGAAATATGGTGGATGAGGTAGAAAAGTGTTCTATCTTATTGGCTAAGAACAAATCCCAGCATGCATCTGTATGCTTTGTCTATAAATTTGGAAAGAAGGATGTTTTTGCAGTCATTCCCACTACAATTTGGAATCAACACTTGTGCTCTGTGAAATGAAGTCAAAATAAATAAATATTTTTTTTAAATCTAATCTCCATCCATTTATCTGTACATCCCTATAAAAGTTCTGCATTTCCTCTTTTGTTTATGCGGGGAGTTTCCTTTTTTATTGTCTTATGAAAATATTGATGCAAAGACATGACATGAATTCAAACTGTTTTGGCACTGTCAAAGTCACTCTTGACATGGGTGGAGTCAGCTTCAGAATGTATTATAGGCTCCAAATATTCACTTGTGGTGATCTGAATCTCCAAGATGAGACTTATTGGCAGTCACTAGCTACTGTGTGACAATGACTATCATCCAAAAACATTTGACACAAACTGACAAAGTGTGCTAATAATGCACAAGTGAGTAACCGTATGATTTGATTGAGAACACCTGGGGCAATTTGATTATTTTAAAAAAAAAAAAAAAAAAAAAAAACTTTTCTTGGTAGCGTGCTTACCTTGACCTTCCAAAAGTAAAGTCCCCAAAAAATTCTACATGACCATTTAGTGATGTTGCATTGGTGGAATTCATAATGGTCTCTTGCAATCTGGACATTAGAGCATCAATGTAGAGTCCTATTGTTATTTGAAACTGATGCAACCATTTTGGTTTGGTTTTGTTTTGTTTTACAGCATATCAACCTCAATTGGTCATTTAATGCCGACAACTTTTTTTTCCTGGTAATATTTTTTCAAAAACGTACAGCTGGCAAAATTATTTTTTCAAAAACATTATCAGAGGCCTTGCTGTCTTAGCCAGGACGCGGATGTAGTTTATAGTCTTACCCAGAATGCGGATGTAGTCTGGGTGTTAACTATTTGCCCATAGCTGGGACCCTAACAGGTGCTACCATCCCAGGTCAGGGTGGACCTGGGAACACCATCAATTAAGAGGTGGTTCCACGCTTCTCGAAACCTCCTGATCAGAGGCCTTGCTGTTGGACGCAGTTTATCGTCTTACCCAGGACGCGGATGTAGTTTATCGTCTTACCCAGGACGCGGAACCATTTTGGTCAGCAATAGTGAACAGAAAGGAACTTGACCTACTGCAGGATCTATTTCACAACCCTCACCCACATTTCACCATTAATATCAAGCTTCTTCCTAACTATTCATCAGATTATCGTCTACCAATTAATAACTTTTCCAGGCTTTTGGAAGAATATGGAGGCAAAAAAATGTTGGGATGAAAAGAAAAATGGTGAGGTTGATTTATTTAATGAAATATCAAGACTTATTTGGTTATTTATTAGTATCTTTTTTATCATCATAAATTCAACACCATATCAATACAAAAAGTCACAAATCCAAATTTAGAAATGGAGATTGCTGAACAAAAAGAAGAAAAATGCCTCACAAATGTAATCAAGACAAACCTTGAAATTTTCTGATGACAAACCAATATATGGTTCCAATTCTTTCTTGAGAGCACCAAGTGTTATCCTCTTGTCTACATTAACAGTAAGTGCTACAAGAAAGAAAAACAAAGTCATTTAGGATCATTTTAACAAAGAGTAAAAAGAAAAAAAATTCACAAAATTTTTTTTAATAAAGTTTTTCAACATCAGAGAATATCAAATAACTCACAGCTAAAATGTTTTTAAATAATCCTGTGTATAATAGGGCAGGGTGATTTTAAATAATCCAATGCAAAATAGGGCAGGTTGATTATTCATTTTTGTTTAGAAAATCAACATTGCACTCTGGGTGAAAGCTGGGGCTTGATGTGATAAGTTCTGCCACCAAAAATTAAGATTCATAGCTCATACCAATTTTTGAGAATTTAGTTTTAAAGATCTTCTGAAAAAAATGTACAGAAATACCTAATTTACATGGGTTTTTGCTTACAAACTGACTTCAAAATTTTACTATTTCAAGAATAAAACCAAATAAAGTTGATATCTTTTGTATTAAATACATTGAGTGGAAAATACATTAAAACCAGAAGCACCACAAGCAAAATATACACTTTTGGGGTTTTTTTTTTTCTTACTGTATAAGTAAAAACTGTAAAAAAAAAATTGTACAAGATTAAAATAAAAAAAAGGCTACTCAATGAATAAGATAAGAATATTAGATCATAATTAATAAAAACAAAAATTAAATAAATATAACACCATAATACTGCTGGGCACACATTATAAAACAAAATGTTTTAAATTTGCATTGTTTATCGAAAATTGCAAACATTACATCATAACATAGCTAAATTGTTCAGTATAATTTCTCTTTGAAGTAAATGATGGTCTTATTCGATAGTAAAATGATTTAGTAATAATGTGCTTGTGTCATGCATTTTTTTCATATAAAATTTGTAAAGCTTCAGAGAATTACAAATTTTATAAAACTCTGTTATAAGGCTTTCAATGATCACCGGAATGAAATTGTAACACTATGAGTTTGAATGCAAGCTTAATCTTTAAACTGGTTTCCTCAAAAAATAAGGAACGATTTGGAAAAATTTTGTGTCATGTCAAACCCCAACTGTCAAATTGAGTGCAATATGATGATGTAGAATTAGAACAATCTACTCCCGTGGAATAAATAAATGGTTCAGTTCAAAATTCCAACATATATCACCTGAAGAAGGCTGGAGCTTACAATGGTTGAAACATCATGAATATGGCATTAAAGAGGGGGACAATTGTCTAAATAGTTACAATAGCTCATATCAGAAATATAAACAGATCTGATCTCTGCCAATCCACTTCCTGTATGTTACTTCCTGCTTATCCAGAAAAGGAAAGTAAATATCAACCAAAACAGATTGGATATAAAAAAACAAATGGAAAGATAGAGGAAAACCAATTAAAAGAGATATAAGCGCTCTCAAAATGTTTCACCCTGGCGACATAAGAGATTCAGTCAATTTTTGTTTTGGTAATTCTAGGTCAAAGACAGAAGCATAAAGCTTTGCCCCCATCTTAGTTTCTTTAATCTGTTCCCAAGAGGAACATAAATTTCCATCTGTCTTCCTACTAAGCAATCCTCTATCACTGTCTGACCTCTTCAACTTTCTTCCCTTAAGTTGAGGACACATCCACATTACAGTCATCAAAAGAAACACCTCCCTGCTTTGATTTTTCTTTTTAACCACCACCCTTATCCACAATCCCTGACCTTACAACACCTCAATTTCTCAGTTAATTCATCTCATCTCTTGGTTCCTGATAAATAAGTTTGTTTTTTTTCTTTTTTCAAATTACAGTAATATTTGATTAAAATCTTACTTGCAAAAGATGCAAGAATTCCTTTGATGAAGCATTGTCATTTCTAAACTTATTTCTTCCATCTTTCTTTTTATTTCGATCCTTAAGTAGCCATTCATAAACAACACAGATCAGAAATAAAAAATAAGCCTACAGCAAGATTTGAACTCATCCTTTTTCCTCTCTAGAAGCCTGTCTTAATGCAACAGCTGACTTATTGATTAGGCCACAGAAACTATTGGCTGACAGTCATTCCTTATTTTCCATGACCATTTTATTCCCATATGCTTGGAGAGTTAGTAAGATTTTTAATTTCTTAAATATGGGTACTGTCAATTTTTTAACTCGTACTTGTTAATTTCAGTTGTTTTTTTTATTCTTTAGTACACTAGTAGTACGAGATATTACAATACAAGTTTCTGAGATAAAACAATGTCAATTCTTTACTGGTATTTAATCTTAGTTTCAGTTGCTTCTTATTGCAACTGTCAGATTGTAAATGTTTTAAATCTAATGAAATACTGAAAAAAAAAAAATATATCCCTGATATCTGCTGTTATTTAGTGTATTGGGGCAGCAGATCATTAAAATATATTAAATATAACTGACAATGAATGTCTATATTTGATCATGAGTTGTTCTAAGCTTCGTATAGTGGCTTTAGTTTCAGAAGAAAATAAAGACAAAAACTGACCAGGATCAATTTAAACCTTCTTTAAATAAAATATAAAGACAAAAAGCACTATTTATTTGACCACATAAAACACACTCACAAACTATTATCTATATAAATAAAGTGCAGTGTATGTGCATCTGTCCAGCCATTTTTCTATCTCAGTGAATCATAAACAACCTGAAGTAACAGGTTGTAATTACTGCAGTTACATGCAATTAAAAATTAATTAAATAACTCATTTAAAGTTAAATATCAAACTGTGTGAAAGGTTAAAAGACAGTTCTTTATTAAAGGTTTAACTTTAATTTCGCTTTTTGTTACAATTGCAACTGTAAACTATAATTAAAACTTAAGCAGGGCACAGTACGTTGCTCATATGGTTTTGTTCTTTTTTTTCATTTTCTAGCTTGCTTACTGTGACATATTTGAAATATTACATAATTCAAGTTCCCAAATGTCTTAAGAGTGACTTTATGTGAGGCAATCATAAAGAATGGTGATTTTAAAAGAAAATAAAACTTGCGTGCAAAATAAGCATAAACAACCTACAAATCGGTTGCAATATGAAGAAATAATTTCTTCTTATAATTTTTACGTACCTAGGATGAAGGTAAAAGGCCAAAGGCCCAAAAGCCCTCCACTGGAGGTAGCCTAAAGTCTGCCTGAAGGGTGACTTCCAGAGTAGGTTGATAATAATAATAATAATAATAATAATACACAGGTGCATTCTGACCTGATTAGAATATTCCACTTTAGTTAAGTATACAAGTATCATAACAGCATTCCATTACTTGAAGTACATAAAATCAACCTGCAAATACTGAGGCAGAATGCACAGATACTATACTGAGCCTAGGCAGGAATTCATTTTTTTTTTTTTTACAATTTATCAACCCATTACAGGTTATTTAAAGCTAGAAAATACTTTTAGATTATAAGAATTTTTTTAATGTTTTTAGTGATACAAATATTACTAATTAACCTGGGATTAGGTGGATTCATACCTTTCGTCAAGTGTATTTGCATGTGAGTGAGTATAACAAACCCAAAGAGAATTGGAACTTAGCTCTCTGATTGAAAATTTGGGTCATTATCTTTTAGACCACCTGCACATCCAAGCTTACAGCAGCTGGTATTCCTAAGTGGCCACCCACCTAGGTACTGACCAGGATCAACATTGCTTAACTTTGGTCATATAGGAACCAGTGTTTCAACATGATGTGGCCGTAAAGACCCTGGGCAGAAAGTTGAGGGCCAATATGCTGATGTGAGCACAGATACATGATTTTGATATCCCAACAATTTCAGAATGTAACACAGGGCTTGTTTAACATGCAAAAACCCGCACGTGTGTGTGTGTGTGTGTGTGTGTGTGTGTGTGTGTGAAGAACAAATTCAAGAGTGTTATAGGGAAGTGTTGATTGGTGATCAGAATCCTTAGCCTGCCTTGCCTCATTTTCTGTCTGCCCCACCACAAGACTGAAAAATGCCTGCAGCAGAGAAAGATACTAGTCTGGAAGTTGGGCAACCTCTCTGATATTTGACAGACTGAAAACATTAGACTGAAGTAACAAGCCAGACATTTTCATACATCAGATATATTTGTTCAGCTTTGTAAAGTCAAATGTATTTTTTAGTTGCTGAGGGTAGCTGTGTCCATCTGCATCATGAAATGGGCTTATAGAATATTGTCAATTAAAAAAAAAAACAATTTTTATAACTGGACAATCATAGATTTAAATTAAGGTAATTTTTATTTAGACAAAAATTTGAATTTTCTTCTTTTACCTTTTTATATCACTTTTCAGAAGTTTTATATATTTGGATGCATAGTATGCACACACAAACACGTGTGTGTGTGTGTGTGTGTATGTATATATATATTTAGTGTATTGGGGCAGCAGATCATTAAAACATTAAATATAACTGACAGTGAATGGCTATGTTTGATCATGAGTCATTCTAAGCTTCGTATAGTGGCTCTAGTTTCAGAAGAAAATAAAGACAAAATTTGTGCTCATGTACGTCATTACGAATTTACAACTTGTATCTGCTATTCTGTGACCATTATTGTTGCATAGCAAACTTCTATGTAAACATAACAGAATATCATCTTTGATAGTGAACAAATCTGTTGTAATGTCCATATAACCACTTATGATGATGGCTCATGTGATCTGAAAGCTTAGATCGAGGAACAGCATAGTAAAAAAAAAAAAAAAAAATATCCAAATGTTGGACAGTTTTTGTCTTTATTTTTGCCCAAAACTAACGTCACTATTCAAGCTTAGAATGGCTGATCAAATATAATAGACATTCATTATCATATATATATATATATAGTTCTATATATATATATATATATATATATAGATATATATATATATATATATATATATATATATATATATATATATATATATATATATATATATATATATATATATATATATATATATATATATATATATAGTTCTATATATATATATATATATATATATATATATATATTCTATATATATATATATAGTTCTATATATATATATATATATATATATATATATATATAGTCTATATATATATATATATATATATATATTATATATATATATATATATTTATATATATATATATAGTTCTTTTCATATGCTTATATATATATATATATTCTTTTCATACGCTTGTTTATGTATATAATTGTGTATGTAGGTGTATGTAGATGTGTATGTAGATGTGTATATATATATATATATATATATATATTATATATATATGGTTGTGTGCGTATGTATATGGGTGTATATATATATATATATATATATATATGTGTGTGTGTGTGTGTGTGTGTATAGAATGTATTCAAATGGAAGAACATGGGTCATTTTAATGGTCTTTTAAAATTAGTCTTTTTAATATTTAATCTCACTTTCTCCTTTAATGTTCTATAATTAGAATTATGAGAGTGTATATTTATCATCTGGAGGTATTTTCATTTTAAATTGATAACTTAAATTTAAATATACCACTCTTTAACTATCAATATTAATAGTAAAATATTAACAAAATTTTTTTTGATAATTAAGCACTTCAGGAGTCACCTAACGTTAAACTTTAACTTATGATATCAAACAAAAATCTAAATAAATTTCAAATATTAAAATATAGGTAATTATTTATAAATGTATGTATATATAATTTATGTATGAATATAGATGAGCATTTGTGTATATTGTTACACGTGTGTCTATGTGTGTATTTGCGCATATAAATAAACGTATGTATATATGGGATTTGCATGAATATGTTTGTGATATATATAAGAAGAAAGCAAAATCTTTAATATTACCCTCAAATATTATTCCATAATGAAACCTAAACCATAAGTAAGTTTACCCATATTATAATAATAAAGAAAAATTGCATTCATAAATTAGATTAAAAGTAAAACTAATAAAGATGTTACCGTAACTATTTTTAGAATATTAAGGAAGTACGATTGGTCGGGTAAATAAACTATTATAATTTAAAATACTTTTTTAATATGTTCTTTATAAATGTGTTAATAAAAATAGTATTTAACTTATATTAAGTCCCTAAACTATTTGCTTAAAAAATTAAATATTTAAATTGATAGCAATCATGAAATGTTTTTAGACATCTAAATTTCTATCAAGCATTGAAATCCATCTTTTACATAAATTGTTAAAACCCAATTACAGCCTCTTTCGATTTACTTCCCTCTCCCTCTCTCCTTGCTGTAACACTCATTTGTATATATCTGATTTACTGTTTTCTGTCTCCTCTTTCTTTTTCATTTTTCCTTTTCCCCCCTACTCCCCTCCTATTTCTATATATTATTTCCGTTAAGTTAACCATCTAAATAGGTCAAGGTCTGGTCACTCCTCCTACCCCAATATAAAGTACACTTGAGAGAGATATGAAATTAACCCCTCCCTATACTCTACCATGTCTCTTTAACTATCCCTCTCACACCCCCTGTTAAATTACAAAAACTTACACTACCCATCAATTTTAATCTCATTTTTCGTTTCATTTCGTTGTTGAAAGTGCTATCTGATGATCCGGTGTCCTTTTAAAAGGACTCTGGTGAAATAAATTATTATAATGGTACCTTAAAGTGGTCTGTTTTTCTTTTAAATATTAGCTCTAAATTTACATTGAGCTCTCAGGATTTCATCCTCCTTGGGATTACCCATATGGATTACCAAGTTCTTCATAACTATATATATATATAAAGCATATTCATATATTGGCAAACATGTATAAATGTGCTTGAAATAAGACGCAGTGTCAAAGGAATGGGTTTTTCTCATGACACCACTTTTTTTGTTTTAACTACCTTCACGCCTAGGCAATGTTTGTTTTAAAAACTGATGATTAGAACTGAAATAAAACCTAAACACATGAAAGTGAATTTATACATATTTTTTTTTGTACTTGAGAATTTTCAACAAAAATATTAAACACTATTTGATTATTTACAAGAATAATTTTATATTTACAATATTCTAAAAAAACTAATAATTAGAATTAATGCAAAAAATTTCTAAAATTTGCAAACCAAAGAGTGAGTTTTGTAAGATATCAACTAAATGTCTAAAAAGTTGTTTTGTTTTCTTTAATCATTTCACCTCAAGCAAAACAATAATGCCACTAAGACGCCAGGAAGGGGGGGGGGCTACTGTGAGTGAAAGAGAATGGGAAGACATTAGAAGGAACCAGAAACCCAATCTTAAACAGGAAACAAGGGATAAACCTCTACTCCTCTTCAAAAGACTTGGCCAAGATGTATTTGTGCATGCACTTTATGTGGGGATGCACGAGTAGGGGGGATGCACGGCTTGGCAGAGAATGCACGTAGGCAGGAGGAGGAGTTAACGGGCAGAGGATGCACGGGGCAGGAGGAGGAGTTAACGGGCAGAGGATGCACGGGGCAGGAGGAGGAGTTAACAGGCAGAGGATGCAGGGAGGAGGAGGAGTTAACGGGCAGAGGATGCACGGGGCAGGAGGAGGAGTTAACGGGCAGAGGATGCACGGGGCAGGAGGAGGAGTTAACGGGCAGAGGATGCACGGGGCAGGAGGAGGAGTTAACGGGCAGAGGATGCATGGGGAGCAGAGGATGCCCAGAAGGAAACAATACTGATAGGATGAGAAAATTCACTCACTTCTCTGATTAAGTCCATCAACATTTTCTGTCGCCTGAAAGTAGCGTCTGTACTCTTCGTCATCCAGGTCCCGTTCACTGCCATCAGCGTCCCAGATCTCGTCAGACTCTTTCTTCTCCTGACCAGATGCATTCTGTTGCAAATAATCTGTTACATCAACACTGTGCAGATGGTCTTCCCGCATTATCTCCCCATCCCCACCCCTTCGCCCTCGTTCATTGCCGTTGCCAGCACCCGGTTCCATGTATTCGTTGCCAATTAGATCGACTAGCGCGACGAGATCGTTCAGTGGTTGCAGAGAATGCATATCTGTTATACTTGTGTTGAAATTGGTGGCCAAACTCAACTCGCTGTTCATCTCCTGGGAATTGGTGCTGCTGCTGCTGCAACAGCTAGGGGCCAGAGGACTGACCGTTCTCACTCCTTCCACAGCCGGAGACAGCAAAGGACTAATGACAGTGCCTGAGGAGTAATCTTGCCCATCATCTGTGACCTGCGAAACGATGTTCCCATTCTCTGAACGATAATACATGCCATTGCTGGCTGATTGCAGCTTGAGCAGCTCCATGCTTTTTTGACAAGTGCCAGAAGTCGTAGCTGCATTGTTTGGCGAGGTAACATGTTTGGTAGTTTCCACTACAGTTGGCTCCTGGGGTCCTGCAGCACCATCAGCACCAACGTAGTCATCAGGAAAGACCGTGCTGTTTACATTGTGCTTTTCATGAGTAATGAAATACTGTCCACCCCTAAGTGGGACCATGTTGGCCTCACTCTGGGGTACATTTTCTGCAGGAGAAACCAGGCACCCGTCATTATTGCTGTGGTAACTGTGTCTTTTTGCTGAGGAATAATGACTGCTCAAAGCAACATATTCTTGCACTTCAGCTGCAAAAGACAAAAAAAAAACAAAAACGTAGGTTACTGAAACAAGAAAAGGAGAGAAAAAAAAAAAAGGTAATTCAGCTTCAGTTATTTTGTCTTATCTTCTTCCAGTGGAATTCCAAGTTTTTTTAAGATGCCACTGTAGAGTGGTTCTACTTTTGGTTTTATTGAGGATCCATAGGGAACAAAAATTAAGAAACTTCATGACTCCTTTATTCTGGTCAGCAAAATCTGCTTTACCTTGAAGACTATAACAAGGCATTTTATAAAACTGCTTCACTTGATCTCTTATTCAAGTCTTAGAAAAAGTTCAATGGATACTGGTTTGGTTTGGTTTATGACATATCAACCTCAATGGGTTATTTAATGCCAAATGATTTTTATTGCTGGCAACATTTTTTTTCCAGAAAAGTATTGCTGGCAACATTTTTTTTCCAGAAAAGTATTGCTGGCAACATTTTTTTTCCAGAAAAGTATTGCTGGCAACATTTTTTTTCCAGAAAAGTATTGCAACATTTTTTTCCAACATTTTTTTTTTTTTTTCCTGAAAAGTATTGCTGGCAACATTTTTTTTTTTCCTGAAAAGTATTGCTGGCAACATTTTTTTTTTTCCTGAAAAGTATTGCTGGCAACATTTTTTTTTTTCCTGAAAAGTATTGCTGGCAATATTTTCTTCCAAAAAAGTATTGCTGGTATTAAAACTTATTTTTACACGTTTTGATCCCAGTTTGGGGGTTAACTATTTGCCCATAGCTGGAACCCTAACAGATGCTACCACCACAGGTCAGGGTGAATCTAGGAGCACCAGCAATTAAGAGGTGGTTCCACGCTCCTCAAAACCTCCTGATCAAATGCCTTGCTGTTGGATGTAGTTTATTGTCTTACCCAGGATGCAATGGATACTGTATGAATTGAATCAAAATTAGCTTAACAAGAAATTAAACTTTTACATACCAAAAATTAAGCAAATTATGTTCAATTATCAATTATCAATATATATATATATATATATATATATATATATATATATATATAGACAGAGAGAGAGAGATTAGATTAAAAGCAGTTAATAGATTTTTTTAAGATGATATTACTTACCACTACATTTCATTCAGCAAGTACACATATCTGAGTAGACATTCATTTTATAAATATCGAAATTAACATCCACAGGCATCAAGATCAAAAGTTTTAATAAAGAAAACGTGCTTGCTGACAGGAATCAAATCTATATTCCCCTTTTTAATCTGAGAAAGCTGCTTTCAAGACAAGCATGCATTACCATTAGACCACAAGTAGCTATTTCAGCAAAGCTATTACAAGTTCACATCAAAAAGTCCAAACAAGAGATTTGTATTTTCTAAGTAGAGTAATTAAGCCTTGCTGTCAGAAGGGTACATTTTTCTTAAGACTTTCAAATCTATAAACCCATCAATTTCACTGTTTTAAAAAAAAATAAATAAATAAACAGGGATCTCTACTCTAACACATGTATCCATTGAATATCATGTTTACAGTTATATATATATTTCAAATATTATAATTAGTGGATACTTGTATTTGAAGTAGACACTCCAATTTTATTTTGACTTTAAATAGTGTGTATTACATCTATCAGTCTGTGTATTCCAGAAAGGCTCTATTTCATTTATTTTTATCTATTTAAAAATAGAGCCTTGGTGTACTGTGACACTTTTCATAGCTAAGCAGTAAAGCACACCAGATGAAATGCTGGTTTCTGCTACAAAGAGGGACACATGTTCAATTTTTGCCAGACAGCACATTTTCTTTATCAAGATTTTTTTTGAATATGCTGGCCAATAGACATAATATACACTAATTAAAATAACAGTAAAAAGGGGGCACCTATTTCAAATACAAGTATCCACTATAATAATGCTTGAAGTAATAAAAATTTTATATTAAAAAATATATATATATATATATATATATATATATATGAATGAATGAACTATCCTGTTGTTTCCAACGTATGAGTGTCTTTCAGTTCAGCTTTTATGCTTATGCTTTGTATGAGAACTATCTTGCATGGGATTTGCAAACAAAACCACATGAAGGGCATACTTAAGGGTTGACCATCATACAGGTTGATGTAGTAGCCCAAGATTTAGTGTTAATTCTTAATTCTCTCAGATATATATATATATATATATATATATATATATATAAAATAAAGCTCAAAATCTAACATCACCATATTTTATATCAGAGGCATGTTAAAGATAATCTAGAGGATTATGGGCTGTACAATATCAAGACAATATATTTTAAGCAAAACCACTTTACATAGCCACTTAGATATTTCTTTGGCTATTATTACTCAATCCATTAACAGAAACATAAAATCAACAAATACACTATAATCAAAATCAAAGTTTTATATTCATAAAATAAAATTTAAAAAAATTCATGTCATCAATAATGAATAAAGTATAAATCTTGGTACTGATTAATAATTTCCAGTGATACCAATATTGAAAATACTTACCTTTCGATGGTATGTTCATAAAAATACGTATTGTGTTTTGATACCGGTCAAGTATCTTGTAGAATTTACTTTCTGGAAAATTACCATTGGGGTCTTCAGTTCCACTATATTCTACAAATACCTGTTTAAAAAAAAAAAAAAAAAATTGTCTTGACAGATTTATCAAAATGTGGGTTGGTGTTTCCATTTCAACCTGTGAAACATCTTCACATTCTAACAAATACCAAATGGATTTATTGAATTAAATAAAAACTGCAATAAATAAGCAACAGCCAAAATGTTCTATTGTATCAAACTACTTTAATCACAACAATCCCAATATTTTACAACCTATAATCATTTCTTTAATTGAGAAACTAGCATATGTAGTGCAACCAAAGTGAGAGAAAAGGAATTGCACATTGCAAAGTATCGTTACTAGTAAAAAATATAAAAATAAGTAAATTTCGAATCTTTCCAATAAACATCAGCATTCAATAATCACACACTTATTTATTTTGCTATTATGCATGACAAGCCAGATCTTTGGAAAAATAATCAAGGATTCTTGAATCAGAAAAAAAAAAATTCAGCCATTGTACCCAAATGTTAAAATTATTCAATTAATTATTTGAACTAGTTTTAACCCATGAAAATTTCACGGTTTTCCTATTTGAAATTTCTGATGGATCTTAATTCATAGGTTAATGATTGAATAAGCTGATGGCAAGTTCTAGAACTATAAAATATCTGTAGAAATTCCCCTATCACATCGGTAAATATTTGAGCTTAACGACTTTAACAAAATATTGAAACAACAATCATAAATATGAATGCTGGTTGTTATTTTAAGAAGTAAAGTGAAGTCCCAGTTATGCTGAGCTGGGCATGTTTCCAGGATGGAAAATCATCACCTGCCTAAAATTTTATCATACAGTGAGCTCTCCACTAGCTATCGCAGCAGAGTGGCACCAAAGAAGCGATTCAAAGATTGCCTGAAAAAATCCTTTGATGCCTGTCACATCAAGCATTGCCAATGGTCAACCCTAGCCACCAACCATGCTGTTCTTATCTCTGAAAATACCTGCAGGGCCGCTTTCAGGGACAAGAGGCAGAGGAGGGAGTACTGCAACTATGTCATCGAGCCCAGGCCAGATTTTCAGTTGCAGCTACTGTAACCATATATGTCTGTCCCACCTTGGACTTATCAGTCACAAATGTGCCTGACTTGTACAGACTCCCTCTTGATTTTCATTTTGCGAAACCAAGCAATGATGATGATTGGCAGTGTGAAACAGTCATGAGAAATAATGAAGGGAGAGACAAAAACAATTATTATATGAGAGGTACATGGCTCAGTGGTTACAACATTAGCATGCCAAGCATGAGGCTAGAGTTTAAAATTGGTCAATTTGTCAAGGCAGTAACTTCTTGCTAATGTTGGCCTGAGGAGATGTTCTGTGCATACAACATTGTGGGAGAATGCCATACCAAACCTTGAGAGTGAAACTGGGTAGTCAAACCTGTTCAGAAGATGTTGGTGGTTGAGCTAGCACAAAGTCATCGTGACTGAAGGTTCGAGTGTACCGATCTTGTTCAACTGCTGATCATGTGCTCTTCTCTAGAAACCATTAACTAAAGTCTGCTCAGGTTTGGTTTGTAGCATATCAACCTCAATGGGTTATTTAATGCTGACAAGATTTTTATTGCTGGTAATATTTTTTTTCTTCAAAAATGTATTGCTGGTAATATTTTTTTCTTCAAAATGTATTGTAATTTTTTTTTTCTTCAAAAATGTATTGCTGGTAATATTTTTTTCTTCAAAAAATGTAAATGTAAAAATTGCTGGTAATATTTTTTTTTCTTCAAAATTATTGCTGGTAATATTTTTTCTTCAAAAATGTATTGCTGGTAATATTTTTTTTTCTTCAAAATGTATTGGTAATGGTTTTTTTTTTCTTCAAAATGTATTGCTGGTAATATTTTTTTCTTCAAAAAATGTATTGTGGTAATTTTTTTTTTTTCAAAATGTATTGCTGGTAATATTTTTTCTTCAAAAATGTATTGCTGGTAATATTTTTTCTTCAAAAATGTTTGCTGGTAATATTTTTTTCAAAATGTATTGCTGGTAATATTTTTTTTCTTCAAAAATGTATTGCTGGTAATATTTTTTTTCTTCAAAAATGTATTGCTGGTAATATTTTTTTTCTTCAAAAATGTATTGCTGGTAATAATTATTTACAAAAACGTATTGCTGGTAATAATTATTTACAAAAACATATTGTTAGTAATATCCCCCCTCCCCAATGTATTGCCAGTAATAATTTTTCCTCAAAAAATTTATTGCTGGTATTAAAACCCATTTTTACACCCTCACAGTGCTCCAATCCCAGCTTGAGGGCCAACCACATGCCCATAGTTAGGACCCCAACAGGTACCACCACCTCAGGTTATTGTGGACCTGGGAACATTAGCATTTAAGAGGTGGCCCCACACTCCTCAAAACCTCCCAATCAGAGGCCCCACTGTTGGACGTAGTTTATCATCTTACCCAGGACGCAGTCTGCTCAGGATAGTTGCAGTATAAATGATAGGTTTGGGTATACAGCTGTTGAAGAAACAAATACACCCAAGCAGGCAGCTACAACCACCCTAACAAATGAGTATGTATGAAAATGAATGACCAGTCATTATCAGATTATAATTAATTCTGCTTGTTGCTTAGCATATACATTATACCCTGTAACATCTTGCCTGTTCCCTGGCCACAAATTTTTGATATAGCAGACAAAGTAAATCTCTAATCTTTTCTTTTTTTAATCTCAGTAAGTTTTATTCTGGAGTGTATTGAAGCTTTGTATATGTGTTTCTAGAAAGAAAGAAACTAAAGACAAAGTGATAACACTCTTTTTATTTTTAATGTCTGCTTTTGTGAAATAGTATAGTAATATGAAATATGCCAGTCTGAAATGATTAGTTTTCATAATAAAAAGTATTTGATCATGTAAAAAAAAAAAAAAAAAAAAAAAAAAAGGAAAGGTACTATTATTAGTTATTACATGAGTAGAGGAGAATTTTCTCTTTTAAACCAGACTCACCTTATTGCTACGGAAAAGGCCCTCTGATTTCAGAGTCTCACCTGGAGTCCCAAGTAAACGAAGGTCACTGTGGTATCGCTCTGGAACACATCTCATGTGTGTCACAGGAACGTCCAGTGTCTAGAAGTAGAGCAAAATAAAAAACAAAAAAAAAAAATACGTTTTTTTTTTTATATTTGCTTATCTTGAAGAGGAGGGGGTGAAATTCACCTATAATTGTTTTTTTTTAAGCAATCAAGACTCAATTACCCTATTTAAGAATTTCATGTCTGTCACTGGGACATTTCAAAATCTATCTCTAATTTTTCATATCCAAAACATAAACAAAATAATTCTTAATCAATTTATTGCTGCCACATATGGTCTGGTGTTCCTGCTATATATTTAAAGATTCTTGATAAAATCCAACGAATCTGCAATGTTTTTGGTTGTGACCAAGCATCTTCACTTCAGTCACTTTCCCACCATGGTAATGTAGCTTCCCTCTGCCTTTTCTATAAATATTTTCATAGTAATTGTTCTGATGAACTTTCCACTATGGTACCTAAACTTTATAAATTTAAGCGCAGTACTAGATTGGTGACAAGGTCTTATGATTTTATGGTTGAAGTGGCCACTAGATGTAACCACAAATTCTATGCTAGAAGTTTCCTTTCTCAGACTTCTCACTTGTGGAACACACTTCCAGCTTCAGGCTTTCCAGCTGTTTGTGGCCTTGTTAGGGCCAGAAATAAAGACATGAGAGCAACTGAGTTAAACAAATATATAAACAGAAACAGTAACACAAGCATATACAAACGTGAGTGTTACAGCAAGAATGTTCGGCCCTACTGTCAGAGCTGACTGCTGGAAAATTCCCTCTCCAAAAGGCAGTATCTGCTCTTATTTACAGCTGAGAGAGTCCATGTGTGCATGGGTAAATTAACATAACACCAGCCAACTTTGATCTTCAAAAATTTAAATGTAATATCAATCGTTATCTACTGTCTTCCTGATTTCTTTTCTATTGTGTTCGCTCGTAACCTCTTGTGTCTTAGTAGCTTTACTGCTTTGCATGGGGGTGAAATTTGAAAATTATATTCTGGTTGTTTATTTCTTAAAAATTTAAAAAAAAAAAAAAAAAAGAAAAAAAAACAACTGTTAAGAGTCAAATACTTTTAATAAAAAAAATAAAAGTCTACTAAAAATTTAGAGTTTGCTAATTCTTATTGTTGCTTCAGTTCAGATGATGCTTTTAAAACCAATTCCAATAATTCATATCACAAAATGCATTGCACAAATGGCAGCAATTATTTGCAGTCAAGTATATGGAGCAAAACTGGATGATATAATATCTAGCTTTGGGTAAATCTTAAATAGAATCAAAATTTAAAGGGGAGGGAGAAAAACACAAATTACAAAACATACATGTTATGCTAGGTAAATGAGACCAAATTACATTATAAAAGATTCAATAGAAAAAAAAAAAAAAAAAGAAAGAAAGAAATCTTAATATTTGAAACCAATTTTACAAACAAATAAAAAAAAAAAAAAAAGAAGAAAAAGCCTATTCAATAAAACTACCATCAGTCTCTATGCTAACCTCATAAATGACTGCCTTCTCAGGTTAGGTGATCCATGATGAAAGCCTTCATAAAGTCCTTGGTATTGTGTGGCCACCAGTTGGTATCCTTCTCAATTATACCCCAGATATAGTAGCCCTGTTGATTCAGGACAACTTAGAACAAAAAGGTTAGATTCTAGAGGTTGCATGATTATTTCTAGGTGACATGGGCCATATGGAAGGGAGAGAGAGCAGTGTCTTGCTCCTGGGCCAACTTCTTGATCTAAAGCAGGTACTATAATCTCTTGAACCTCAATGTAGATGGTGACATTGCACTAGATGGCCAGCAGAAAGAAGTAGGGGTGCAGGACACTAGCCACAACACCCAAGACTATTACAGTTAACACCACCATTGTGTGGTATCACTATGGGGGCTTCCTTGGAGTGTGTGAAGAGCCACTTGACATTCCTTCTGTTCAATGTCTGATCGTAGTCAAAGTGCTCATTGGAAAAGAAATAAGAGCATACAGGGATACTCCTTGAGTGCTTGAGCATATTCAACTAGCATTTCAGTTGGATCACATAGTTCTCCTGGGTCATGTCATACACGAGTTGCTTCCTTCTTTTTGATCATGTAGGACTTGTGCCTGATAATGACTCCTCTACCAACTTTAGCTGCTCTGTATTGGCTTTCATCTGTCTCCAGTAGAATGGATATTTGAAACAATGTCCAATAAGTTTTATAGATAGAATTCTTCATGAAGCAAAATGAAATTTCTTTTTGTTGAAAAAATATAGTCATTTGAAAATAATGGAGATTATATATTTACCCCGTTGGTCTAAACTTCAACTGATAAACTAAGTCAATAAATGCGCATCCTTCAAAAATATCACCTCAAGAAGGGAGAAGGATTTCTATGGGATTACCTTTTTTGTGTGTGTATCTTTCTGAACAAAAGTTTGGGGTTTCAGGCTAACTTTCATGTTTCTCAGTATCTCTTTAAAAGATTTAGGAAAAAAATACATGTCTTTCCAGATTTTCTCATAAAAATAAATTTCAGCAAAAATTCTTTTTTCAGTAAAATTTCACAAAAATTTATAAAGATTTGACAGATTCCAAAAGGTAAGATCTACATAACTATACATTTTCTCAAGTAGTAAAAGTATCTTTAAATGAAACTTGCCTTAGAAGTCTTGAAAATGTTCTGGTTAGATACATTTTCATCACACTGCCCCCTAAATTAAAAAAGCTCATTGACACATTTCCATCAAGTCCTCAACAACTTACCATCATTTTATACCAAATCAGGACAATGTTTAAAAATTCACTGTTTCAGCTCATTGTGATATCTGTCCATTAATATTTTAAAAAACAAACCGAAAAAAAAAAAAAAAAAAAAAAAAGACGACAAAAAAAAAAAAAAAAAAAAAAAAATTATATAGCAGGAAGAGTAATAAAAGCAAACAACTGACTGATTGCATTTGTACCAACCTGAGAGATAAGCTCTTTTAATTCTGCAACCGTATTGCTGTGACATGCATGGACAGTAATGGGTGGATGGATAATTTCTGATTCTAAATCAACAACAAGCACCTTTATAGTCACACCTGTTGATAAAGAAACAATGTAGATAAAAACAACAACAAAAAAAAAGGATATTGTTTTAGAATAGCTAACAAGTTTCTTTATTTTCTCACAAACTTTTTGGGGAGGAAGGAAGAAATCTACAAAACTCAGAATCAAATCTTAACTTGAGATTTGAAATTTCTGCATTTTAAGAATGTCATGACAGGCATTATTGTTTTTATTGCCAAAAAATTCAAACTGAATCTAGAAATTAATGAACACTATTTTCTAAAACATTAAAAAAGTCACAAAATATTTTAATGTCACAAAGTTCACTAGAAGAAACATTTATTAAAAGAGAAAATTTGAATAATGGTTTTTAATAACAAAATTTACAAATGGAGACATTTACTATAAAAATATTTAGTCAACAACAATGTCTTTTTGCCTTATATGCAAACAACATAGTTAAAAACAAACCTTTTTTAACAAGACTTTGTAAGGAAAAAGAAAAAAAAAGGTTTTCTTTAACTAACCCCCTGGTTTATATTCTTGAAATGTTTGGTCAGGCCGCCGAGTTTCCAAAAGCAAGTCAAATGTGTACGTTGATTTGACCCCCCCTAGCAGTTTTCCTATGGGTGTGTTGTCCTCATTTTCAAATGACTTTTCAAGGGCATCACAATATTCATCATATTTGACTAGACGACAGCAGTCCAGAGGCACAACTGATTCTAACTCAAAAAGCTGCAATTCAAATAAAAAATAAAACACAAGACAATAAAATAGACATTCATATATGCCAATGGACTTTATAGGTTTTCTTCAAGACTCGTACTTGAAAATGTTCTAACTCAGTAGAAAAAAATAAAAAAAATTTGATGGTTATCTGACATAATACCAGAACAATTTCCAGTCACAGGTTTGACTTCAAGTTTTTGGGGTTTTTTTTTCCCCCAAAACATGAGTTGGTAGACAAGAATTGAGGTGAAACTGAGCACAACATTGAAAGGTTCTGTTATGATAGGAGGGAAGGAACCCTTATAATGTTTAATACCAGGGTAGGTGGTATCTGAGGATTATGAGAGTATTTTGGTACAATACAAAAAGGAAATAAATTGAAGATAAAAGACAATGTTATCTCTGCCTGTGGCAGATTACAAGACTAGAATGATTAAGACATTTCAGCCATTGTACCACCTTTTACAGGTCAACACATCCTCACATGTTGCCAGGCTACTGGGAGATAGGCATTTTACATTTTTTTTTTTTTTCTTCTTTTCTGAAAACAGAACCCCATTACTAGGTGGAAGCTCTTCAACCTTGCTTAGCAATTTATCTATCAACACAACCATTGACCTGATTTCATAAACAAGGTTTTGCTTCCCAATGGTGCTACACACTAGGATCATCTCCCCCAGGACAATGTTATCACAAAGACAACTTCTTAACTAACTGACCATGAGATTTGAAACTTGGGTCTCATGATCAGAACAATAGTGCTCTAACCATTCAGCCACACATTCACTATAAATTCAATGTGAATATTGAAATTCAAAAAGCAAGGCTTTCCATGTGAAAGAATGGATGGAAGCAAAATTGGGTAAAAGGAAAAGTGATACCATAACAAACACGATACTGTAGCCAGCACAATTATATATTTTAATAATTTTCAAGAATTGAACCATAGAACCATATGCATACTTGTATTAGTATTGCTAAAACTCAAATATAAAATCAAAATAATAAAATTTAAGTGGGTAACAAGAAACTGGTACATGGGTGCTTAATCAGAATAAGTGAAACACCATTTGGTACCACTAATTTACTATCCAGGTACTCAGTGAAATTTCAAGCCAAAACTGACCATCCCACCAACCATGAGTTCAGCACCTTACTTAGTAGCCCCACCCGATGAGTATGACCTTATCTGCTTAAAAGATTCTCATCCCAAGTACCCCAGCTGCAGGATTCACCTCCATAACACAAACATGTTAGACAGGATAATGGAACCAACTGAAAATACAGTGGTAGTTTCATTAAAATTGCACCAAGATATTTTAGTACAGGTGTACGAAAATACCAACATTCCAGACAGTGTGGTGGTGGTGGTGGTGGTGGTGGTGATATAAAATTTCTTTGAAAGTTCTATGGTTTTCATGGGTTTTTTTTTTTTAATTTGGTAAAGGCACCTTCTGAGTGTGAAGCTGTGGTTGGTTAATTATTTATGTTAACCATAAAAGTGTTTTAGAGAGAGTGTTGTAAACATTGAAAATTGATGGCAAAAATTACAAATCAAGCAAGAAAAGACAAACAGAAAAAAAGAAAAAAGAAAAAGAAAAAAAGATCATAAGGAGCAATGGCTGACAAACATATTTTCACAGTAGATCATTTATCTCACGAGTATTTTGAACTTTAATGGGTGCCTCACACTTTATGACCTTGTGTCAGATTAAACTTAAGAAATAGCATTACTCTCCTCATGGAATGCTCCACACTTGTACCAAACTGTCATCTTGAAAGCTATTATTACTATAGGGAGTCCAGCTTAGTAAATATCAATAAAAGTTATTATATCAAGTTTTTTGCCAACAGTTTAACATTTAAAAGACATACAGGACACACATGTGCATCCATACTACCTCCCCTTTAAAAAAAAACAAAAAAAACAAAAAAAAAAAAAAAAAAAAAAAAAAAAAACAAGCAAACAATCCAAAAATAAAATCAGTGTCAAAGAGGAAAATCTTACAATCTACTTTGGCTTTATTTTGAGAAATTAATATACGTAGTCTTTCTGTACAATTTCTAACGGTAATAGTAATATTAGCCACTTAATTACAAGGAAACGGTTGGCATCCATTGACTGAGCAACTAGTGCGGTAGTTCTAACAGAGATGGCAGTATGTAAGAGTTCAAATATCCAAGTAAAAAGTGAATGTAAGTGCTTAAAAACAGGTCATTTGATAGCAATCACTTACACTATAAGCAATTTCTGTCGTTTCTTTCAAAGTTTTGTCTTTGTGCACTTCAAGTTTGTTCTCCATTTTGATCTGCGTGGCAGGATAGTAGCAAAATAATTTTATCTGCAGAAACAGAAAAGAAAAAAAGAAAAATATTAGACAGTCAATTAGTCAATTCTCCTCACCTCCCCAATCAAAGGCAGTATTAAATCCTGATTCATTAAACCCTATCTGTCAGGCATGATTACCAAAATGAATTGACGATAAGAGTCAAATCAGAATAAATCTAGTGTTTCTGAAGATAGATTTTAAAAAGAGCATGAACTTTAATACTCTTCAGAAACAAGAAACAGAAACCTGAAAAACTTAATTGAAAATCATAATTGGCCATGTAATTAGCAAAAATGTTCAACAAACAGAACTGACAAAGTTTCGAATAAACAATAACAAAAGGACGGGGTAAAATAATAAGCAGACAATATAATATGCAAGTCAAAAGTAGGCAAAAAATACAGCAATGAGGCAAAAAGTTCACAAAGAATGGGGTAATATGCAAAAGGGATATAGTCAAGTGATTGTAGCGTTCTGACTTCAAGAGAACAAAAAAAAAAAAAAATACAGTGTATAAGATCAAGAATTAGTCCATTTTCATTGGTTAGGAAAAATCCCAGCATGCATCTGTTTATAAATTTGGGAAGCAGGATGTTCTTAGTAACCATTTCAATGAGATTGGAATCAACAAATAGTCTTGACATTTTTTTTTCTTAAAGGAACACTGAATTATGCAAAGGTAGTGTAACAGATTTTGAAACAGAAAGTGGAATTAGTAAGCAGAGTTCAAATTCCAGGCTCATTTGTTGCATTTACTTTCACACTAATGCTCTTGGGGAAAAACACATTAATCCCTTCCCCTGGCTAAGAGTTAAATAATCATTGGTAACAAACAGTATAAGTGAAAGAAAAAAATCTGAATTCCAAACCATAGAGAAGGCTTTAGGAAACCACTACCTTTCCCAAGAAAGCATAGCAATCTTCATGTAATAAAGAAAAGTAATATGGGGAATCATGATCATCTACATCCTGAAGAAACAAGGCAGAGAGAGAGAAGAAGAAAAAAAAAAGAATCGTGACAAGTGTTCAGCTTCCACTTCTTTTCAAAATTAGCAACATCTATCCTTTGTATGTCATTTTCTACAAACTTAACGAAGTTAAAACTGATGAAATATTTATGTAATTCAAAACTTTGGAAATAATTTCCAAAGTACCATTTAAGATGCTGCTCTATAACATGGGGTTAAACAAACATGCAATGGACTCAATTTTAACCAAAAATAAATGACCCCCTGCTTCTAGAGCAGAAAAACTAAAAAAAACCTTCCTTACTTAAATGGTTGATTAAAGAAATATCTAACTGGAAAGGCAAATTTAGTATTAAAAGAAAACCAAAAAACATTTAAATAGGAACAAAAAAAAAAAAAGATCCATAAAGAACAAAATAAAGTTTTATTTTGCTTACTTTACATGTGCACTTGTCTATTTCCCTTTGTTTCCTCTCAGCCTCTTCTTTGGTTTTCAATTCTTCTAACTGCCTTTTCATGTGTGCAGGAAAGTCTTCAGGAGAGACAAACTCTGAAAGAAAAAAAAAATAAACACTTGCAAATTATGAGAGGACTTCTTTAAAAGAAGAAAATGTCTATAAAATCAACGGGAACATTAATCCGAGTCAAACCTACCATACAAGCAGAACATCAGCTTCCACAAGTACAGAGATACAAGTTGGAAAACTACCATAGTCTGTATCTAACACCATGCATCGAGAGTTCACAAATATAAGAAATTTAATCAGCTTGATCACGCATCATCAAGCTTTCAGAGAGAAAGAAGACGCTGCAATGAGCTTGTGCTTAATTTTAAAATTTCAAAAATATTTTTGGTACATTTTGATTTGTGAGAAAATAGCTGCATTTATTTTTCATCCAAAACAAATAAAAGGTTTTCCCTCCAAATTTTGAGAAGTGCATTTGGAGCTTACCTGTAGGTTATTCGGGAGGGGGGGGATTAGATTTGATTCTCAGAGTCAACAAACAGTCCAGAAACAAAACAACACAGAAGAAATTTGAGAGCCACCAGATGAGAATTGAAAGGAACAAGGTCGCTCCTATATCAAGAAAAATCTTTGGCTGGTGTCATTGATCTATGCTTCACTGTTACCATAAACTTTGCTTTGAAAAAAAACTATTCAGAGAAGTATATTCATTTTCTTCACTTTATGTAGTTTTCTTTGCTGAGGACCTTCTTATGCAGCATTATAAATTTTAATTGTAAAAAGGCATATTACATTTTGATTGGTAATTTTTATATACATGTTATTGGCCATCATTTAGCACACAATTTGTGCAATTCATTTTTTTGTGTGTTAAGAATAAAATTTTTCATATGTTTTTAAACTCAGCTAATGTCGTCAGTCTTTGTTGTATCTCAAACATTTGTTTGAACTATTTTTTATGTAGGTTGTTGTTTTTTTTTTCTTACCAAAAAAATCCTATACAATCAAGTCTCATCAACTTCTTCATGCAATATGAACCACACTTATGGCATTTTGTCATACTTAAAACTAGATGAGTGTCAACTCTCACTGAGTCTCAATATACATTAGTTACCCATTATCAATTTTGGGGAAGGAAATAAGAGAAAAAAAAAAAGAAAAACACGAAATACGAAAACGCTTATTATTTATATATTTGTTTTTGTCTATGTACGTACATATACGGCTGGGAAAAAAAAATCAGAAAAGCCTTAAAACTGTTACCGTCCATCTCTGTACGAAGCCGCTGCATCCCCTAATATAAGGGAGAAAACTAACGGCGTGTTTTTTTTTTTTTTACTGAGTTTTCTCCCTTAACTATAAAAGGGGCCTAACTTCCTAGCTATGCGTATTTGCAGCATTTGCTAATTGTGCTGGGTTTTTTTATTTTTTATTTTTTTATTTCTTTATATTTTTGCGAGAAACGTGTATAAAAAAAGTAATAAAATTTATAAAAAAAAAAAAGAAGTGATGAAAAGCATAAGGTCTTAATTCTCCAATAAAATTTACAAGTGTGGGATTAGTTAGGAAACATGACAATGGCCGATGTACCAACTTATTTTAAAGCTTCAAAATTCCAAACATTCAATCCAAATAGATGGTGCTTGTTTATATCTGCATAAAACATGGGTTCATCCTATGCAAAGAGATATTGCCATCATTCAGCAAATTAATCTTAAGATTCAAATAAATGGGTGTGTGTAAAAAACAAACATGAAGTGGCTATAATGAGATACATACTGTCACGATAAAAGAATTAGCAAACAAAGAAGCCTGTCCCTATTTTGAATCCTGATAAATATCAGGTAGGATAGGAAAGCAAAGTTATATTTGTTATGCAAATCTCCCTAACAAGATTAAAGATCCAAAAAACCCACCTGCATTCTTCTCTGCATCAATTCGACGGTACATCAACATATATGCATTAGTAGAGCTAAAAAACAAAAAAAAAAAAACTTCAATTTTGAAACATTGTATTAAAGAATTTAACATTTATATAGGAGACAAGAATTGGCATCTAATTATTATTACAACCAAAAATTTGTTTAATTTCTGCATGATTTAAATAAGCCTACAAATAATAAATTCAGTATGATTTTTTGGTCAACATTTTTGATTTGGTTGAACAGCATATCAATCCATTAGAGGTTCTTTTGATGATCGAACCAGTTGCAGATCTTAAAGCATAATGTACACTACTAAAATATAGCATTCATCCGAGAAATAATATCAGGTGTATCAACATCAAAATGGCCCATGTAAAGTCAGTCATTTTCATAGCCTTGACAAATAAAATGTCAGATTCTTGCCAGGCATCAAAGATGGAAAAGTCAAAAAAAAAAAAAAAAAAACACACACACACACTAAGAGGATATAAACTGACTTCAACAATGGGGGTTTGTTGCTTGCTTGTAATAAGTAAACTACTATCTGCGCATATCCATATTTATTTACATAAGAAATTTTTTTACTCATAAATTTGTAAAAATGTCAGAACAAGAAAATTTAAATAAAGACCATAAAATAACTAGTTATAAAGTTTTGAAATATACATTTTCCAGGCATTTTTTAATTTTCTCTTGTCACATAAATTTACTAAAATAGGTTGAGAGCATCTCTTCCTAATACAATTTTGTAATTTTTTTTTAATAAATTTTTGCATAAAAGTTCTTTCAATAATAATTCTTTTTCAAATTTATTTCTTTATAAAACGTTAAATAATAAATCTTTATAAAAGGTAAATACTAAATATCACATATATTTTTATAATCTTGTAAATAAACATTACTAAGAGAGCCAAATAGAAGTGTCAAAGAAATAACTGTCCTTTTGACACACACCACTTTTTTTTGAGGGCACAAAGGTAAAACATAGCCCCAAAAAGGATGCAAATGAATTGAAATGAAGTATTTTTTTAAAGCTTTGGCAGGTTTCATTAAATCTTGCTTTATTCTCTAAAAAACCAATTTCAAACAAGGGAAAGGCTTCCCCACCCCTATTGTTAGTGTAGTATTTGTAAAGTAAATTACTTACTGGACTCAGTTGACAAAAAATAAAACCTGAGGTTCTAAAATTAGATGCCAGATTTGTTAAACTTTACATTTCCTCACCCATTCAGTCAGTAACATTATCTGAATGGAGATTTGAGTAATACGTCTAAGATGGAATCCAATGACTTTTTCTTTTCTTAGTTTTTAATTTAAAAGAAAACCATAAATCAATGCATACCTCGTATATGATGCAGAATAATAACTTCGATTAGCACTGGACCCTCCATAAGTCTTACAAATGTCATCATATGTAATCTAAAAGAAATAAAAATGTAAATTGAAACACTACACTGTTTTATCATTACAAAAATAATAATAATTTTGAAATGGAAATCTAAAAAAATGTGGCACATGAGGACATCAATAATTCCAGTTGTAGTTGGAGGCCTTTGATTGATTGGAAAAAGTTTTGATAGACTCATTAAAGAGATTCCTGGGTAGCCCATGCCTTAAAGAAATACAAAAAAATTGTACTCACAAGTGCAGTTCACACATTACAAAGAGTTTCATCTCTGTAAAATGTGTGTGATCTTGGTTTGTTTTGTTTTTACAAAAATGATCAGTGGAAAATGTCATGAAGTCATTTCTGAGCTTGGGTGAATGTGTGAAGAAGAAGAAGAAGAAGAAAAACAGGAAGAGAAGAAAAACAGGAAGAGAAGAAAAACAGGAAGAGAAGAAAAACAGGAAGAGAAGAAAAACAGGAAGAGAAGAAAAACAGGAAGAGAAGAAAAACAGGAAGAGAAGAAAAACAGGAAGAGAAGAAAAACAGGAAGAGAAGAAGAAGAAAAACAGGAAGAGAAGAAGAAGAAAAACAGGAAGAGAAGGAGAAAATAACAATAATAATAAACAACACCATTGCCACTAAAACAGTAACAAATATCACTCTTAAGAGAGGGGTCTGCATTAAAAAAAAAAAAAAAAAGTTCAGCTTCATTCGTTAGTATCAGATTAATTTTAAAAGGAGTGGATAATATCACACTTTTAATTAAATTCAGCTATCTTAAAATATATCTTTAACAACATAAAAGTAAAACTTTTTTTTTTTTATTTTATTCTACAATGACCAAACATTATTACCTGAAAAATTTCTTATCCATGCACACTGTACATGCTTAATTTAGCACCCTATCTCAAATAAGTACCCCACTTTCCCCAAGGAATTTAAAATAAGCACCCTGGTGTAAGTAAACAAATATATTTGAGAAACAAATGGGAGGTGGTTATTTGAATCTGGGAGTTTAAAGAGGTTAATTTAATCAAGACATGCTTTCTTCAATATTTTTTAAGTGTTCCTGGTACTAAACTGAGCATTTATGGTACACCCTATATGTTCCGAAATATGGTTCCTCCCATTAATGCTCATTGTAAAATATGGTATTAATTATAAAAAATAAAATCCAATTTTAATTATAGGTTTTTACCTCAAATCCAATGCCAAATATAACCAAGAATGGAACAGTGGACCCATTGATGGGTTAGACTGTCAATACGGTGTTTGGTTTAATTTAAAAAGACAGAAGTACAGATGTTTATGATTCGGTTGCACTTCTTGTTGCAAATAAAATCTTTTCAAAGTGATCCACTGATAGTTAAACCTCCTTAGTTTTCTCTTCAAATAAACAATTCAAAATTTAAATAAACATTTGAATGCATCCACACATATTTCAGTTGACATATTAAGTAGAAAAATGACTTATCAAATTGGACATCTACTTGTACATCAGATATAAACATAAATATAAGACTGTACCGTTAGAAACAAGTGAAACAGTCACTCTAAAACTACCCCAATGAGCAGGCTAACACATAAAAAAAAAAAAAAAAACTTTGCAAAGTGATTTTAACAGATGATTTTAATGAAAGCAATATACATGCCCTAACAAGTGGACAGAGCAATTGCTGGAAAGTCCATCTATGAAACTCTGGAGTCAGGATGCTGAAGGTAACATCAATCAGCTAAATGATACATTTTATATTAGTATTAATCCCATATATTACATACGAGTAAGCAAATAGGCTTTAGGTCTGAGAGAGAAAAAAACTCTAATCAGAGTATTTTAATGTTGTGTTGGATAAACAAAGACCAGATAATATTAAGCATGTTGACCTTGGAGTGATACTGTTCAAAAACAATTTCTTTTTTGAAATCATTTCATCTCAGGTAAGGCAATAAAGACATTAAGTTGCAAGGAGTTACTGAGTGTAAAAGAATGATAAAAGAAAGACATTAATCAAGAGAGGTCAATAAAAATTAAAAAAAAAAAAAAAAAAAATGGATTCAAGGATACAAATGACAATGTTTGACATTGCATTTAAATTTTTGAAGATCAAAATTGATTGAAAAGCAAGAAGCCAGAGGGTTCCACAAGCAAGAAGTGTGCGAAAAGAAAGTTAGCATAGAACTTAGTTAAATTTAGCCATTTTCACTGCAAAATGATGAGACCTAGCTGTCAATCTAGTACTGTGCCCAAATTCATAAAGTATTTAATTGAAGTTTAGTGCAATTACCAAGGAAACAGATCAACCCTCATATCTGTCAGAGGAAAGAAAATGAGACATGTTTCTGGAAATAATAATGGTTTAGTGATACAAGTCTTACTAATAGCTGGGGAAGAGGTGGATTCATGCCTTTCCAAAGGGTATTTGCATGTAAGTGAATATAATGAACCCAACTGGAATTGAAACTCAGCTCTCAAATTAACAATTCCAAGCCATTATACATTACACCACCTGCACATCCAAGCAGTTACCCATCTAGGTACTGACCAAGCTTGATTTGCTTAACTTTGGTGATTATTTATATTTTCTGTGACGTCGTAGTAATGGTAAGATTAGCTGTTTAAACATACTGGAAATATTCATTGATTGAACAGTTAGTGTTACTGTCGGTTGAAATTTATAACATCTTTCTCTTAAAACAGTTTCATGAGAAATTTGACCATGTCCTCCAACTCTCACAATCTTGGCTTCAGAACGTTCTCCATCAACAGATTAATTGGTTGGGAGGTCCTGAAGGGTGACATCCTCCCAGTAGCTGCTTGGTCTGCTAAGAAGTCTTCACCAGTTTACAACTGATGGGTTGAACTGGTAGATGACTCATGTTGTGACTGAGCCAGCAAACACAGCGCTGAGAAAATGGTGCAGAGGATGTTCATCTGGAAAAACTTCAATGTAAAAAAAAAAAAAAAATCTATCTAGTCAGACATTCACAAAAGTTACAAATAAAACCCCTGGCTCAAATAAAGCCTTTATCAATTATTCTTTTGAACCTCAGTCTTATGCCAACCTAGTCATTTATAGGTTGTAATGTGAGGCAGCCTCTTCTGGTTTTTATAACAATGTCAATTTCAAGGATTGTTAGATTTTGTTTAACGGCATGTCAACCCTGATTGCTCATTTTCAAGGACTGAGATCCTCACCTTAGATACATGCTGATCATTAAAGCTATACCACTGGTTATCCTTAAAGGATCTGTAATAAGAAAAAAAAAATATTATTATTAGTAAAAGAAACATACGCAAACCAAAGAACATTGTTAAAGTTAAATCATTCACTTAATGCCCCCTCCCAACTAGCACATTATATTCTTGGAGGTTTTATTCAATAGTCAGGGAAACAAATTTCTTATAGAACAAAAGCGAAAAGTGGGCACATACAAGTATTACTTACTTCTATCAAGGATCAGAGTGTAGCATCTGTTTGATACCTTGCTCCTCTGATGTGTTTTCTGATCCAGGCACCAACAATAGCATAAAAGAGAATTGAAGGTATGACTGAAAGGTCTACAAGTGGAGCCATACAGCTCAATAAGATAAGGGTTTCCTTGTAAAGATTTCTCATGAATTAAGTAGCAAGTGTTAGCTTGCATTTCCAAAACTATTTTTATTTATTTGGAAGGCAATTTGGAGAGCTGAAGAGATGGGGAGGTGCAAAGGCACTCAAGGGGCAAAGACAGTTGGAGATGGAATGTTGCAGCAACAGTGCAAAAGATAAGGATGGAAAAAGCATAAAAATTCCAATCTACATTTCCTACTGTTGCAGAGATTAAAAAGAAAAATATTTGAAAAGATAAAACCATTTTTAGTTATTAAAAAAAAAAAAAAAACTTTCCTTTAAAAATTTCTTATAAAGAGTTTAGCAAATATTAGAATTGTGTAAATGTTATGGTTTTAGTCTTGGGTATGAAAGACCTTTTTTTTTCCTGGGGAAAATCTTGCATACTTGATTAATATCAGGTTTAAAATATTGAAGGGGTGAGAGAGTAGATTGATTTGTTAATAACGTAAGAACAGGTAATTTTTCTTTTTTACAGGATAGACCCATGGAAATCTTTTTTTTTATTGACAACTATCATCCATTCTCATGCCTGTTATCTTCTCTCATCCTTCGCCTGTATCTTCCCACTTTCTTCCTTATCCATTCCAATCTACATTGCCCATTCATTTTTTTAATACAAACATTGATAAGTTTCTTATGTGAAAAAGGAATTGATAAATATTTTCCACTGGATTTGTATATTTTTTCCTACAATTAGAATATTACAGATCAGTTTTTTTGTTGTTTTTTATTTTTTTAATTCTTTTCCTTCTGCCTCATCTAAAAAAAGTCATTTCTTTTCACTTAAATTTAGATTCAACTTTCTAATTAAAAGAAATCTAATTTTGATTTTACAATTCCTTTACCAACTCAGCTTTATTTAAAAGACCCTATAGTCCTTTATTTACCATAACCACAGTTTTAATAGCAAGAAATTGTACAAACGAAATTATATGAGGGGGTGCTGAAAAGTTATTTGTCTAAATATTTTCCAAAATCTGACCAAAAGTTCAAACATCAGAATTTGGGGGTGGAAGATTTCTTAGATGAGCCGAGAATTTTTCAGCATCACCTACTTCAATCCTAACAGACCTGAATAACAAAAGATAAGAAATTATATAAATAGTACTTACTTGATGTAGGCATAATAATGTCCACCAGCTGCACTTCCCGAGTGAACCATGATGGAAAATAATTCATACATGTAAGGACGCTGAAATGACATTTGAGGAGGAGGGGGCAAAAATATCAGATCAAATCAACCAAATGTAGATGGAATAAAAATATTCAATCATTTTCTATGATTCACCAAAACACAAAAAGTTAAATTGCAACAGTTGTTCAAATGATTAAAACTCATTCTTATTGGGACTTTTGATGTTACAATATATTCAGCCAATTCATTCTACACTTTTCTTCAGCAGTACAATACACATGAAAAGATGGATGTGGAGTTTTTTTTCCCTAATGAATGAACACTAAACAATGGTTGTATCCAGAAAATAAATAATCATACTGATTGGACCGACCCATTCATAGCAACACATATAACACAAACAATTCCATTTTATTATTATAAACAAAAAATATTGGAGAGCAATGCTGTTATATAGTTGTAAAGTGAACAAAAATGCTGTTAACACTAGTAATTATAGACTTTTGGTCATGACTAAGTCATGTAACAGTAAACAATTTTCCTTCAAATGTAAGGAGACTATTATTACCTGAGGTAATCCTCTATGACTAATACATGATAATATAAAACACTAACAATCAAATCAAAGAAGCAAGAGATGATAGCTCCTTGATATGTATTTTTAAATACTAAAATTAATCCAATACAGGGCTCGAGAGCCACTCAAAATATAGGGCTACTGAATGAGGGTCTGTGATATAAATGAAAGCAGTGGTGGAAGGAAACAAAGATTATGAAGATAAGGATGGATAAAGACCGACTTGAAGAGGTTAAAATTGTAGGGTTCAGGGAAACATTCATGTGGAAATCTGTTCCACAAAGTATCAACTCTTGGGGTGGGGGGAAGGTATCCAAGTGAAACTTTCTATTTACATTTGGAATACAGAGGAAATAAGGGTGATTTGACTCCATGGAAGTAGCATGTCATGTCCTAGCAGTAAAGATCTAAACTGATGAAGCTAAAGAATGGAGCGCTCATCTGAACATTTGTCACGGAAATAGCTATAGAGTAGCAATAGGTTTACAACATTTAGAGACCTCAATACCAAAAAGATCTTAAATTCAGTGATAAATATTATTCAACTTAATCGACACAGTATTTACAAACAAGTAATTTTTTTAAAGCAAAGCACAAGCAAATAAAATAGTAAAGATCCAAACAAGTATAAGGAAGAGATCTGTTCGTTTTATAATAATAAAGAACAAGTGATTTTGTTCTAAGCAGTCAAATATACAAAGTTATTAATGAACATGATTAATATTTACATCCTTTGTTGTGTAACAATTTATACAAAATGTTTTTTTCTTTGTGTGTGTGCAGTGAATATACAAAGAGGTTACAAAGAATTTGAGTAGCTGACCTCTAATATCGATCTGTTGTCAACCCCTCAGTCAGGGCAATGAACATTACACATCTGAAGAGAAATTTGAGACAATAGGTACATCCTATGGTTTAAATGCTGCTCAGTCATGAGGTCATTGTCATCAACAGCAACAAGAGAGTTCATGTACTTAAAATACTAAATACCTGTTCCACAAAAAGAAATTCATCATAAAAGTTCTCTTATTTCTCTAGAATTTCTGTATAAACAACATTTTCAGCAAGACATTAATTTTTAAAGATGTTTTTGCCATCACTCTAGGTCCATTTAAATTTCCTACTTTGGACATAGCTACATAAAAATGAGAATGAGAGAAATATTTGAATAATTTTCTCATGTTTGTATTAATAATAAAATGAATTCAGCCAGCTCACTATTTTTTCACTTGTTTAAATAATTCAGTACAGTTTTAAGAAAATCTAATTAACACACTGACTGCCAATTACGAGGTAACTCCTGGTTGGTATTTTTTTAATATGCTGCCAACAACGGGTTATTCACAGTGATACTTTTAGTGTGAAAACAATGTTAAGACTTCAGTTGAAGCTAGAAATCAGCTCGTACAAAATGTTTTTAGTTGCCTAAGTCAGCTATTATGAAGTTGGTGTTTTTGGCTCTTTCAACTAATTTGTAGTAATATGAAATATAAGACAATAACAATGATTATTATTATAAATACAGCAGGCATTCTAATTTACAACCAAATTTTGATAAGGCGGATATAAATTCTTTCTATACAAACAATTTAAAAAAAAATAAAAATAAAAAAAGAGCATTCACACTCTGGACTTATGAATATATGTTCCCTGGCAGGTGTATAAATAACAGTGTTAGGCTACTGACTTCATTTATTAGTGAGTGACTATTGAATGGAACTATCCAGTCAAATTAGTGTGAATTATTGTGCGTCGATGATTTAGGTTTTGATTTAGGATTTACTGGATGTTAAGCCGAGCCGCGCTACTAACAAGGTATTCACTGAAATGGTTAATTATCTTTGGTTGACTTTTACTTCTTTGTTCTTGTTAAGTATTTAGTTGCGGTTGTAATTAAATTCTGTTTTATTTTAACATTGAAGTCACAAAACAACCAAATTTTGACAAGGCAGGTATAAATTCTTTTCATAAAAAAAAAAAACAGACAGAACCCTTGCTTATATATGGCTAATTTTACATTTTTTAATTTAAAAATAAGACATTTTTAAAATATGTTTTTATTAAATTAAATGTAACCCATTATTTTGCATTTGTTTGCAATAAGGACAGTGAACTTTTCATATGTTAGCAGTACAGTTATTCTACTGATGTAAGATGAGGAACAAAGAGACAAAATTTAGCCATATGTGAATTTATAAAAGATGAGACTGATCATTCACTTTACGGAGGTACTACACCTTATTTCCCCAATATATAAGGGGCACATAAATGGTAAAAATAAAAAAAAAATTTTTTAAATTCTCTCAAAATCATACTGCATCTTATATCTTAATGATAAGTTATTAGTACTGGACTAATAGATGGACCCCCACCCCACCCTACTTAGCACAATTGTACCCTCTCCACCCAGATAACTGCATAATGGAAAACATGATTAGAAATGAAAATAATGTTAAAGCCATCATCATCAGTCTCTGGGCTGAAAGTCAGAGTGGCATTCATGTGTAGCATATATTGGACAAGTAAATTTGTCAGAAGCCATCCATCACCAGGTTAAATCACAGATGCCTTTTGGTCATGGACACTTAGCCATTGATTCCACCAGGGGAATCCTCTTCCATGGTTGGTGAATTCAGTCTAGGAAGCCCTTCAGCCAGCAATACAGTGTGCTGTCACTGTACTGGCTGCATACACAGCCATGGAGCCAGTCTACCCCATTGTGTTAGATGGCTGTTGATACTACAAGAAGGTTCATTTGCCCTTTTGACAGGTTTTGATTTACTCTTGTTATGCCAGTCTCCTCACCAGAAAAGCCTGATAGGGGAACTATTTTAGTTGGTGATGATCCAACCATGCAGCCAGTAAGACTGTGTTATTGGGTAACAGGAGAATTTATCGTGACTGGACATAAAAAAAAAAAAAAAAAAAAAAATGTAAATATAAATAAATTATCAGGTGAATATTATTAAATTTCCCTAAATATTCCTTGCTAAATTACAGGTATGTGTTATATGCTGGTGCTTGTTAGAGTTGGAAATGTTTTATATATTGTTACAGATGCTAGATGATGAAACTGCTTTAGAGCTTATTAACACCTACATGGGACATGAAATACTAAGACTCATTCCAGGTTTTATTTTGATAAAATTATGCCAAACCTATTTCAGCACAAAATAACAGCAAACTAGAATTGCTTAAAAGCATTGATCATTTGATCTTTGAATCAGAAAATTCACTACATTGCTTGTTGGCATTCATATGGAAAAAACAGTTTTTTTTCCTCCCACCTCCATTCAAAAGAATTATTTGAACAAATTTGGGATTTAAAAAATTCAGACTGGTAGCTATAAATGTATTTTGAAGAAATAAAAGTTATTTCCCTTATCTTATCAGTGTCGTGATGGCAAACATCATTTTGATCATAGATGCAACTTTAATTTGAAATTAGTTGATCGATTTGTTTTCTAAAGCTTATCAACTCTTTTATTTAAGGTTATTTAAAGCCAAAAAAAAAAAAAAAAAACTTTTAGACTGTAAGAATTTTTTTTTCTTTTTCTTTTTTGAGATAATAATGGTTTAGTGATATAAGTCTTACTAATTAACTCATACCTGGAGGAGAAGACATGGTACCTTTCCCAAGGGTATGTGCAATATAAGTGAGAATAAGAAACCCAACAAGCATTGGAATTTGGCTGAACAATTGTGAGCCATTATCCATTACACTAATCACACATCCAAGCTTACAGCACCTGGTATTCCCAAGGGGTCATCCATTTTGGTACTGACCAGGCTTGACATTGCTTAACTTCAGTGATTGTATGGGAACAATAACCATAAGTCATACAATTTGAATTTTGATGTATCACATCTTTTGGTTTTGTGTGCAATTATCAGCAAGAGATTTATTCAAAATTTTGCCTTCAGATAAGATGCAAGGCTGAATAATAATATTTATCCAAAACTTTTTCATTTTCTTTCTTTATTCAGAAATTCAAAAACCAAGAAAAATGCTGCCATATTCTGCAGGTTGAGCATAAAGATCATTGGTAATATTCTTTTTTTTTTTCTTTCATTAATAAGGAATAATAAATGCTCATTATATAAAATGTGGAATAAAACAATTGACATACTAGTTTGGTTTGTTTTACGTCATATCAACCTCAATGGGTCATTTAATGCTGACAACTTTTTTTTTTTCCTGGTAATCTTTTTGCTTTGTCAAAAATCTATTTCTGTTAATATTTTTTCTCAAAAATGTATAGCCGGTAATATTAATTTTCAAAAACGTATAGCTGGTACTATTATTTTTTCAAAAACATATAGCTGGCAACATTATTTTTTTCAAAACCATTATCAGAGGCCTTGCTGTTGGACATAGTTTATCATCATACCCAGGACGCGGATGTAGTTTATCATACCCAGGACGCATTGACATACTAATAATCAAGATTTTGAATTTGAGATTGCTAATGGTCAATAGCTGGACCTAAGAGACTTACCTTAGATTCCCATTCTTTAGTATCATGAATGTTAGCAACTGTTTCTCTGTCCGTCAATAAAGTGTCACCATGGCCAATATAATCTATACTGCCAACATGAGCCTTCAGTGGATTTCCATTTAGGATTTCTAAAGGAAAAATGAAAAATATTTGGATAAAAATTAACATAATGAGCAACTTAATTACTATGCAATTGTTCACATTTTTCCCCAGCAAACTGGCAACATTTATACCAGAACATGTTTAGATACAAAATTGTTTACAAAAGATAAATTATCTACAACTCAAAAGGGCAAATTATATTGAGAAGTCCTTATTTCAAGAGGAGTTGTTTGGTTGTTTGACCTTTCTCCATCTGGAAAGAGATCCCCCCAGTTAGTGTCCACAAATATTGCAAAATCAAAGAACAATGGTAGTAAATGTCATTGTCAAGCCTCACAGTAAGATAGGTAATTCCATGGTTGATATTTGGAGTTGCTCTCCACATTTTTTGCTTACATACATACACACAAATATATATATATATATATATATATATATATATATATATATATACACACACACCACAGGTTGACCCAAGCCTTGTAAGTGAAACTGGGTAAATGGAACTCATTCAGGATTTGTCGACAGTTGTGCCAGCACAGAGTCTCAAGTCATCATGACCGAGGATTTAAGTATGCTGGCCTAGTTCAGGCTGTCAATCATGCTAGATAATGCACTAGTATTCATCACTATGGTGTGTGAAAGTTTTCACATTTTCAAATATAAATACTACCAATAAATAAATTTCTACATAAAAAAAACGTGCTTAGGTAGAAAAATATTCACATCAGGAATTTCATTGATTTTGCACCTTAGAAAAACTGCAAAGGTGCTATGTAATAACAAAGAGTAAAGCTGTTCAAATCTTAAATATGGCATAACAGCTCCCTCCTTTCCCCAACTGGAACAGGACAGGTGGGGTAGAGAATCAGACCAAAATTGTCCTTACCTTCATCCTCTATTTCAATATCAAGGACAGAATCTGGAACCCGCTGATCATCACAGTCCAAGTGACTAATTTGTTGCTCACTGTTGGTCACAGACACTTGAGACTGACTGATAGTACATCCAGATTCTTCAATCATGTGGTTTATATTAAGTACTTCTGGAAATGTCATCCTAAAAAAAAAAAAAATTTTCTATAAAGTCCCAAAATTCTTTGAATTATTGAAGAAATTATCTTCAGGGCCCAAACACAAATTTTAACAATTAAATTCCTCTTTGTGTTTATCTGAATGTACAGAAATGATGATAAAATGAAAAAATTACTTATATTTTTGTTTAATGTTTCATTTTTGACAAATTACTTCACAAGGAAATTGAATACAGAACATTAGATGACCATATAAACATCCATTTCCATTCCCTGCATGCATCTATCAATAACAGTGGATTGCCATTGTCTACTGCAAGGGCAATAATTTACCAAGTAAATTCTGCCATTAACTACATCATGCCACAAAGAGGCACTAAAATGTACATTCATGCATTCTCAATTAATTCCAGTTTTATAAAATTTCAATTAGGGCTACACAGATTAATCTGTTAATAATTATTTACACAGACTAAAGATTAGAAAGATAAAATTAATGAAATACCATCAGAGTATTATTTTAATTCATTCCGAATCTAAGATGATTGATGATTCTTAAGACATGGATGAAATTTCTGTGATGTAATAAGCAAATTATTTTAACATTTTGAGCTCTTGTTTTCAGAACAATATATATTGATTTTTTTAAGAAAAATCTTTTAAATACAAGTGTAGCTTTTTACCCCAAAACTGTCTTCAAAATAAGGGTGCATCTTATACACTGAGGTATTTTATATCCTGAAATATACAGTAATTTTTTGCTGACAAATTTCCCATAGATTTTGGACAGTACTTTGTATATTTAGCCATAAAAAAAAAAAAAAAAAATGTAGACAACTTTAGCAATTGAACTAAAAGGGGGGGGGGGGATCTTCATATCAATAAAGGTTTTTAAAAAGAAAACAAGTGTTGGTTATGCTTCAAGTATTATGATTAGATGATTATGAAGCGACATACCTATCGTTCAACTTGATGCGATGCATTGTGTTATAGTCAAAATCAAATCGCTTCAGTTGCAAAGTGAGAAGATACGGAAATGAGACAAACTTCAAACCCTGAAAAATAAAATTAAGAGATAAGTAAACGGTCAATTTGGCAACTAGTATTTGACTTAAAAAAAAAAAAAAAAAAAAAAGTAAATCTTAATTTAGAATTACATATCAGAATATTAATATAGAAATATGAGTCAAGTTTAACCTTCATGCCTGAAAAAAAAAAAAAAAAAAAAAAAACGGTGTGATGAAAAGACGGTTTTCCCTTGACACTGCTATCATTTTTTGCTGACTTCACTCCCTCGACAATGTTTGTTTAAAAAGTGATGATTAGAATTTTAATAAAATCCAAGTATATGAAAGTGAATTTATACATTTTCTTCGTTCTTTTGAGAATTTACAACAAAAAATATTAAACCCTATTTATTTATGACATTCTAAAATTGTGAACCAACTAATACAATGTAATGTTTATCTTTTATCAATTTACAAAGAAAAAAATATGAATAAATTTTTTTATTCAGAAATCATAAAAACACCAACTCTAATGAAATCTTTATTATTTACCATTTTATAAAGTTCCAATCGATTGGCAAGTCACGGACATTTTGCCAACTATTCCAAAAAACACATTTCGTCAGCTTCACCAATTTCTTTAGTTAAGGTGCTTAGCATCTGCTCTTCATTTAAAATTTCTTCATCAGTCAGCACTTGACATAACTGCTGGAGTTTCCAGCTTTGGATTTCTAATGATTAGGCATCCTAAATCACAATATTATTAAAAAAATTGGAAAATTAAAACAAAAAGTAATCCGAGATCTAAAATAATATGGTAAGAAAATGTATGTCCAGAAAAATCATGTTTATTTAAATGTTCTTGTTTTATAGTTCATAGATATTTTATAAGATTATGAATAAAAAAAAATTGTTTCATAGTTATTTCTAAAATGCTAAATAATAAATATTGCTGTATTATAGTTGGTTTACATATTTTGAGAAATTTGTAGATTTTTATAAATTTTTGAATAAAATGGTTTCTTTTCAAATTTATTTCTTTATAAAATGCCAAATAATAAAAACATTACCACTTAGTTCACATATTATTATAATCTTGTAAATAAGATATTGTTGAGGGAGTCTTGCTAAAAAAACAAAAAAAAAAACAAAAAAAAAAACATCCTTTTGAAACACCATTTTATATTTTGGCTAAGTTTAGCTTTCATGCTAAAACTATGCCAAAATATAAAATTACCCACTTTGTCAATTTTTGCAAATGCTCTTCATAATTAATTTTATCCTTAGACTTACAAATCATTTTCAGAATAATAAATTCTTTTAGCAAGAGCAAAATTATAAAAGAAGAAAGTTACAGAGTCATCCTCATTATTGACGAAGCTTAGCTTAGATTAGCACAAGGCCTCAAAATAAAGGCTCTCAGTTATTTAAGGTAGCTACCTCCACTAATTTGCAGAAAAAAAATAGCATAGCATGATGAAAAAAGCCCCAAACTTCATAAAAACAAAGTTGTATTGTGAAAATGTTTGTTATTAAGCAGAAAGACCATGATATTTTTTTTTTTTATTTTTTAATCCTTTCTAGCACATTTGAAATTTTGGTTAAAAATCTTTTTTTTTCGCATCAGCAGTCAGCCAAAAGATTACTAATGCATTCCTTAGTGCCTTTTTCCAATAAAACAAAAACACATTGATTTGGAAAGTCTTACAAAAATAATTGTTGGATTTTAATGAAACTTTCAGAACTTATTCACAAATAAATAAAATTATTTTTGGAATTTTTTTTTTTTTTTAACATGTTACCCTACTCCTTAATTTCATGAAATTTAAATTTTAATTGCAAAATTTATTTCATTAGTTAAAAGCAGGACTCCTTGGAGAATGTAAATCAATTTTTTCTTTTTTTCAAACAGTTACTAATTTTCCGAAAATTTGCTCCAAATTGTAAAATAAAAAATGCAATAAAACTATGACATTATGTAATTAGTAAAGCTTTTAATTGATTTTATAAATAAGATTTATTAAGAACACTGTCATCTTAGAAAAAAATTTTTTTTCAATGAATAATGAATTTTTACAGGAAATTTTTTTTTTTTTTTTAAATCTAAATTTTATAAAGTTTCAAATTTTAAAATTCTACATTATTTTAATGGTGTTAGGTGATAGTAATTGAAAACTATTTAATAATCAAAAATTGAAAAGCTCAATACAAATCATCACACACCAAGATTTTTAAAATAATTTTTCATTTTTTTGTGTATAAATGTACCCATTTTGAAAGTATGGGCCCCCACACATGACATTATCAGAAAATATGACTAAAATAAATTTAAAGTCAACATTCCTAAAATTAGATTATCGAGAATATGTTCCAAAATTTCATGATTACTGAGTAATTAAAAATTATATAAAAAAGGTGCTCATATGATTTTCTTAATTTATGTTTTTCACAAAGTCTCTGTAGAACAACAATAAAGCTGTCATCACCTTTTTGTCACTTGTCAACACGTAAACATGGCTACTGTCAGTTAAAGCACAGCAACAGTTTGTTTTAAAAATGCATTTCTGTGTTATTTCAAACTTAAAATAAATAACAGTTGCTTCAAATCAGATTAATTATACTTTAATTCAGCTAACATTTCTCAAATAAGTTTCAGAAAAGTATATTTTATTTTTGGAAGATTTTTTTAATAAAGAGAATTATATTGCAATGAATAATGACTAAAAAAATGAGTGCTAGTCAGCTACTTTAGAAAAAAATAAAAATAAAATAAAAATCGATTTCAATTAAAATAAATTCTGTTTGAAATACACCAGGGTATTTTGCTTACTGGAAATAGTAAATTTAATCCTTTAGCTTTCAATTAAAGCTAAAATGAAAGCTTCAATAAAGATTTTCATTTTTAAAAATTCATTTTAAACCTTTGATATTGGGAGTTAGTAAAGACTAGCAGCATGGCCCGGCCTGGCGTTGCCCATGCTTGATTCAAAAATTGTATGACTCATACAGCAATTGCTATCACTTGACTTAAAATATTTTGCCCTTCCTCGCCTTTAAAGGAGCACCCTTTGCCATGCTGATGTTGCTACATGCTTTACTTCTTGCCTATCTCACGCAAATTTTTTCTAAGCTCTATACTAAACATTAAATCTGTTACGAAAAAAGAACTAAACAAAATGAACACAAAACGATCAGCTTTAAAAAAAGGACTAGTAACTGGAAGAACCGAATGAAAAAAGAATGTTAACAACAAATACTTTTTCACACCCAACCCAGTTCTGCAGAATCAGAATCAACGTTGAGTTTAAGCAAGCGAATGAGCCAATTGGAGTAAAGTGCCATGCAGATTTAAATTTTTCCACTTGTGACGAATGCAGCTATCGATTTTTTTTGCATGCTACTTAACATTCGTGTCAGTCAGCTATAGGCTCTCACTCTGGCCAGTAGAAAATGGCCGCAAACTACATGAAAACTGCCGTAGAAGCATGAAAAAAATTGATTATTTCCACTATCGATAGGAGTTGGGAAATGCAAAGTCAGTCTTGGCCTTCCCGCTAACTTGGAGCATGTGCATGTAAATTTTTGGTACAAATCTGTCTAAAATTATGCCGTGCATTCATTACACACACACACACACACACACATCCTGCCTTTTATATATATATTATATATATATATATATATATATATATATATATATATATATATATATATATATATAGTATTGACTTTTTTTATTATTTTAGCTGTTGGTAGGGAGAGCTTTACCTTTGATTGTGGTAGATGCTATTTTCAGTACCCTAATTATTTTATTAGATGCTTTTGTCAGTACCCTAACTATTTTATATTCAATGTTTTGGGGTTTTTTTTAAGCATTTCACCCCAAGCAAGTCAGAAGTGCCATTATCACACAGGGGGTTATGGAGAGTGAAAATGAGAGAAAAGTGTGGGTGTGGGGGGGGTGAAGAAAGGAAAAAAGAACAGGTATCAATGCAACAAAACATGGTGACTGATGTTGCATTTAGGTTTTTGATGATTGTAGTTATCAGGGAAGCAAGTGAGAGGAATGGAGTTCCAATATGGAGAAGTGCGAGGAAAGAAACTGTTAGAAGGGCGGTTACATTTAACTATTTCAACAGTAAAAAGTTGGGACCTAGATGCCAATTAAATTCACGTAGTCAGGGCAACAGGGAAAAAATGCTCATCAGTGCAGTAGCCATGAAAATATTTGTAGAAAAGACAGAGGGAAGCCACATCACGTCTTTAAGAAAGCGGCTGAAGTCAAGAAGCTAATTCAGTACCGATTCTACTTTAGATTTTTTTGAGACTATTGCTGTAAGGGAAGGTAGGGGAAAATTTTATGGATAAAACTTTAACTGTGCAACCAGTAATAAAGATCACAGAAATGCAAACTATGTTGTTATTCATTTAAACAACATAATTATCATTAAATAGTAATAAAAAATATATATATATAATATATTTAAAGTAATAATAAAAGTAATAGACAGATACACACATGCATACATACATATATATAAACTTACATAGTTACAAACCTAATATATATTTTTCAGTGTTTGATGCAAAATAAATGTCTATTTTTAAGACTATATAAACTTATTTTTATGATGACATTTAAGTATAAATTCTGGTTCAATAACTGGCTTGTATTTTTGTACTTATTTTAATTTTTTCTTCCAGGCATAGTTTGTATCTGTTTTATATATATATATATATATATATATATATATATATAGATAGATAGATAGGAATGCAAAAGAATGATAGGATAAGGGACAAATAGGAAATCTTTATAAATCTGACATGCTTTGCTTTTATTAACACTTGAGATGTGGAGGTTTATTTTCCACGAGGGTTGGCCAGGTGAAGGTGAGAGGGGGAGCACGTTGCAGTGTTTACTCATCCCCCCACAAGAATGAGATGTGACACAAGGTCGGATTAATGTGGGGACCCGAGCTCTCTTGGTGGAAGAAATCGGCTGTGTCTATGTCAGCTGCTGTTAGCATCGTAGCTGGTTGGCAATATCTTTTGGTTGATGAGTAAAAATTAACCTCCGCATTTTGACTGTACACATGGGTTTCATTTGGACACCATGTTTATTTAAAGTAGTTTCCGGTTATTATTTTTAGTTAGGAGGACTTGTGTATGTTTAGGTTTCATTTGTTTACTTTTTGTGTATCGTTCTCTGAAAAAAAAAAAAAAAAAAAAAAAAACACCGAGTCACCGGAAGTTAACAGCATTCGGACATTTGAGTAGCCGGCAGTAACTTCCAGCCAGGTGCGATACCCTTAACTGTGCTTTCAAATTGATTTCATGCAAAAACAATTGTGTTTTTCCAATTTTTGGCGCTGTCAGAACCACTGCCAGGTAATTTTACGTAGTCCTGTGAAGTTTTGTTGAAATCAGTTGAAAAATGTAGAAAATACGATCCCACATATAAACGTACAGACACACACACAATCTGTGTTTTATAATAAGTAAGATAAGATAAGATACCTCCTTTTGGGTGGTGGGGTCTTAAAGTAACTATTTTTCAATTTCATGACTTCCCCTTTTTTCAGGTTGGCTGTGAAACTTATTTCAACCATTGTGCCCTCCGACCTTATACAAAGTATGTCAATTTCCAACTTTAAATAATGTAAGTAAGTAAATTTCCATGCTGAAATCTAAATACTTACCTTATGAGCATCACATTTCTTGCCACACTTCTCACAGAAATACTGGTTAGAACCAGCAAGGATCTCTGGCTGGACAAAAGCCTTCAACCCTTCTTCCTAAAAAAAAAAATAAAAAAATAAATATATCAATTAAAATAAAATTTGTCCCTAGCCGGATGTTTTTGAACAATCAAATTCTACTCAACATTTCAACATTTTTTTAAACATTGGAAAGAGTATCAAATATCAAAAGTGATGCAGTCAGTGATGAAAAGGAATTAAAGTAAAAAAATAAAAAAAATGTCCAACTGATTGATGAAGATAAATCAATTGATAAAAACTCGATTATCTACAAATGATTCAATTTAGATAAGATGACTTTTTACTTTTTTTTTTTTATAAACAAGACAAAAAATATTAGAAAGCATCTTAATACTGAACACAATTTCTCACTTAGTCCTTGATTGTCTATCTTTGCTACCATATGCTATATAGATTGACAAGAAAGCTTGTCAAATATTCTTTGTATTTTAGGAAAGAATACAAGTCAGTGAATTCCTTAAAAAAATACTTCTTTAATCTTTATAACACTGAAAAAGTTTTAATCAAAGATTTCTGAAAACAAGATGACAACTCACCACACTTCCATATGCCTGGCTAGCACCAAATGGTCGAATAACGAGGGGTATGTCCAGGTAGGCATCGATGCGAGCACTTTCATATGAACACTGCAGGTGTTAGAGGAAAAATAAAAAAAAAAAATGATAGAATGGTAGTGAAATACTTGTAGAATAAAGTGAAAATTGTTCTAACATTATAATAAGAAAAAGAAATCCATATATAAAATTCTTTGACTTCCGTTAGTTCGTCCGTCCCACCCACCCTCTAAAATAACCATACATTGATAGATTGAAACCAAAATTTGGAGATAAGTACAAACAGTTAAGGGGTACAAAGTACAGTTGTTTTACTTGGATGAAATGTAAAGTTTGTAAATCTCGACAAAAAAAAATGTCAGCAATAACTTCAACAATATTAAATACTGTGAGAATTTCAACACAAGTCAGTGTGTTGCAAAAAAATTCTAGTTCTCCAAAATTCCAGAAAAGATCAACCTTCCTTTCAAGATACAATATTCTTAAAATTGTCAATCTGTTCCTCTTTTGAGACATGAATATTTCAGTCACATTTAAAGTCAATTTAGTCAGAATTTCTCAGGATTATGCTTTGCTGTGATTATTAATCACAAGAGTTATATAAAGAGAAGTGTTTTAGTACATCAAATATCCAGGAGTAATTAGGCTGCAAGACTCCATTAAGAAGAACACCACCTGAAGTTGTTCAAATTCTGTGTTACATTGGTTAAATAATCATTAACCTAATGATTATTTAACAATGAAATGAACAGAATCATTTGTAACTGTCTCTACACACACAAACACACACACAAATGGAATGGGAAAGAAATGTGATTGTTGGTTGGTTGGATTGTTTTATGGCATATCAACCTCAGTGGGTCATTCAATGCCAACAAAATTTTTGAAATAGATTCATAGTGATAGTTTGAGAAAAAAGGTGTGTATGTATACATATATATTTGAACCATTTTTCAATTACTCATATTTTTGAGTACAATTCAACTTCTTTTAGGAAATTCACAATCTTGGATGGTTTTATTTTTGTAAAAAGTTTTTTTTTAAATTACTCACTTGGTAATATTTTATTCACACTAGATCAAAATCTACAAACTCTAACAGTATGTGTTTCACTGTAAATTTCTCTTGTCATGTAAGTGCATATTGTAGATTCTGTGCCCTCTAGTAAATAATAGTGGGTGATGTAGGTGTGGCCTATGCGAAGGCGGGTCAGCATGTAAATTTCTCTTGGTATGTAGTGCATATTGGGGATTCTGTGCCCTTTAGTATTAAGTATTGCTGATAAAAATTTTTCCTTCAAAAATTATTGTTGGTAATAAATTTTTTTATTACAAAGTATTTCTGGCATTAAAGCCTATTTTTACACAAGTTTGGGTGTTATCTATTTGCCTATAGCTGAGACCCTAACAGGTGCTACCACCCCAGGTCAGGGTGGACCTGGAAACACCAGCAATTAAAAGGTGGTTCCACGCTCCTCAAAACCTCCTGATCAGACACCTTGCTGTTGGACATAGTTTATCGTTATACCCAGGACGGAAAGAAATGAGATATTGAAAAAAAAGGAGACAATGGAATGAAAAACACTGACATTTATGTTGTCAAAGATTTATGAGGCTTGACAGTTTTGGGCTTTTAATTTAATGGAAGGCATTCAACCCTTACAGACACAAGAATAGCACTTAATTCACATTATGGAGACCAGTTTCACAATTTTACCCATTTAACCATTACTGTTGCAATTGTGCATAGTGGCAGGTTTCTTCAATAGAGATTCATCATCATGCCCTACTCACAAAGATTCTCGCCTTCTACATGTTAGTAAGATCGAAATATCACCACAACTGCCCACATTTGCTGTTCAATACTTATAGCTATAGAACATCACTAAAACATGTAAATTAGTCAATCAGTGCTGTTCAAATGTGTCAGTAGGGCCACCTGTGTTAATCAGTCACAGTTTCCCCAAATGGTCAGTTCATCAAGCACACAACCCATCTGGTGGTAAGTACCATTCAGGTCCAGGGGAGAGAACTAAGAAAAAAAAATTCACTCCCATCACAACAGACGCATTGTATTCAGAGTCTCTGTTGATTCTTTTTTTTTTCTTCTGTCTACAACCATTTCAAGGTAAAAAAAATTAATTCTTTGTTTCCTACTTCTTTCCAACATTGTGTCCATTTAATAATGAATTCTCCTTAACAGTTAACCTTCTCAGATTGAACATAACAGAAAATAGTCGAGTGGTTTTGTTTGGTTTACAGCATATCAACCACAATCGGTTATTTAATGCCGACAATTTTTATTGCTGGTAATATTTTTCTTCATAAACGTATTTCTGCTAAATTGTTTTTCCTTCAAAAACGTATTTCTGGTACTATTTTTTTTTTTTTTTTTTAAATGTATAGTTTAGTTTGATTTGTTTAACTGCATATCAACTTCGATGGGTTATTTAACGCCAACAAGATTTTCATTGCTGGTAGTAATTTTTTTACAAAATATTTCTGGCATTAAAACCTATTTTTACACTTTGATAGCATTTTGACCCCAGATTGGGGGTTAACTATTTGCCCATAGTTGGGACCCTAACAAGGTACAACCACCCCAGGTCAGGGTGAACCTGGGAACACCAGCAATTAAGAAGTGGTTCCATGCTCCTCAAATTCTCCTTATCAGAGTTCTTGCTGTTGGATGTAGTTTTATCATCTTACCCAGGACGCAAATAGGCGAGTGGATTAAATGGCTTATGAATTTTGTGACAGTAATTAGGAGTTCAATCCCTGCACTGGGCAGTACAGACTTAAAACTCAGTGGTAACAGAGGCAAGAAATAACAGAGTAGTACTAAAAAGAAGGCAGCTGTGAAGTATTCCTAGATTTATAGACAATGAATGAGAACAATCGACCTATGTAGATTAAATAAAGTGTTAAGTTTGAAATTTCTTGAAAATTTTACCCATATCAAGAAACACCTGAAAAAAGGCCAGTAGCCACAATAACTGAAATGTTGTGATACTAGCAACTAAGATGAGTCAAAATGTAACTATAATGATTTCAGACAAAAATTTACTTTGACTGTTAGAGTTTGGAGACCTCTTTTCCAGAGTACAAGTGTCAGTATCACTCTCTGCCAGTCTGTCACACACTTCTAATCAAATGAATTCTTACTGCACTTGACCTATCAACCAAATCAACCTTGCTGACAAAATATCTATTCTTTATTACCTAGAGTATAGAAGAGACCAAATCAAATAAAGTACAACTCCCACACTTAACTAATAACAACTTACCAAAACATTTCCTGCAGCTATGAAATAAGAAAAATTCTAGAGGAAATACATCCTTTAAGATATTCAGAAGATAAAAATGGCAGATTACCTTCCTCACTTCCTCTAGAGCAGGGTTTTCCCAACCTGGGCGATATTGCCCACCAGTGGCAATTTCAACTGTTTGGTGGGCAATGAGCAACAGAACGGAAAATGGTAGGCTATATAGAATCTTGAGTATCAAAAAGGTATTTCAATATATGTTTCAATCACTTTCAAATATTTTCATGGTAATTGTTCTGATGCTACAACTGCATGAATTTAAGTGCACTACTAGATTGGCAACTAGGTCTCACTATTTTACTGTTCAACTACCTAGATGCAACCATGTTCTATTCTAATAGTTTACTTTCTTGCACTACTCATCTGTGGAACTTCCTCCTGATTTCATGCATCCCAAACCACCAGCAAAATGCAAAAACTTAAATGTAATACTAATCGCCATCCTCTGTTTTCATGAATTCTGTACTTTTATTGCCGTTTTCTCCTTACTAAAATATTCTCATTCACTTTCACTCTGAGTAACCACTGGTGTCTTAGTGGCATTATCACCTTGCTTGATTAAATGATTTAAAAAAGAAAAAGAAACTATCACCAAACAAATGGTTGTTCATTAATAACCACATTATTCCAGAAGAAAATAACTGTTTTGTTTATGTCAATGGACTGACACAATAAGACTAATTTGTAATATGCCAAAAATATTCCTATCTTCTTACTTAAAGAAATATGTAAATCTTAGAACCCAAAAATAAATGCCACTGATTAAATGTTAAAAAAAATATATTTAATTCAAACATATTATCAATTAAAGAACAAGTAAAAAAAATGAATTCATTATAAAAAGAGAAAATATCTGACCTCTAAACATTTTACATAATCCTTCAGCTTGCCTTGATACAAATGGTTGATGAGGTTGGCCTGATCAGTCTCTTTCCAGTTCTGTTCTAAGGCATCGAACATTACTCGACACAGCTCTTGTACATCATGTTGGTGCCAAACTGAAAAAAAAAAAAAAAAAAAAGAAAATAGCTATCAACAATATAAAAATACTAATCTCACAGCAGTTGATTGATTGGTCATGGCTCTTCACAGCTTTGGGCCAGTGATTTTCAACCAGTGAGCCATAAAAGTTTTTAAAGATCATTAATTAAATTATTTTTGAAAGAAGTCAGAACAATAATCATAATTTAAGTGTGTTATGGAAGTTTAACTAAAGGTTCAAGTGTGCTGTGAGATAAAAAAAGGTTTAACATTCTCACCGAATGATAACCTGGTGTTGATAAAGTTATGTTTTATTTAACTCAATTCAAGTTCAGACACCATAAAAACTGAAAAACAACAACTGAACCAGTCAAGGCTTGGATGTTTACAATCATATATGAATATCTTAAAGTATAATTAGACTTTTGGAATTTGAGATTAATACAATAAGAAAATACCTTCACTGCTGTCCCAACCAAAACTCCTGGTTAAATCTGTTGTTTCTGTAGCTCGTTTATTGCTGGTCTGGAACAATAATTACAATAGGTCAGTCAGAATACAAGAAATATTCTTAGCTTGTTAATATATATTGTAATATTTAGTAAACTTTAAACAATTCACATATTCTTAATTTTGTTTTTAGTTTTTTTTTCTCACTAATTATAATAGTTTCTTTCCTCCATTTAACATTTTTGTCATTTTTACATAATTCTAAACAGATTATGAATATACATCAAATAAAAATTTAAAAAATGCCTATTTCAAGTAAAAATGATAATTTTTTTTATTACCGTATATACTGGAGTATGTGTTTTATGATTAGTTTTTATTAAAAAAAAAAAAAAAAGAGAAAATAGGACTCACACTATACACAGGTAATTTTTTTTTGAAATGGTTAAAAATAATGCATTTTTGGTGGCCAGTTACACTATACAGAGGTAATTTTTGTTTCAAGAGGGGTTAAAATTCATGCAAAAACATTCAGGGGTTAACACTTATACATGAAGTCAGTTTATACACAAGTATATAGATTACACATACAAATTTTATAAGTAGACTTCTTTTCCATTTTACAAGTAAGAAAGCCCTCTCCCCCAAAACCTAAATGCATATTTGTCCACTCATTTGAGATTGTCTTCTCTATTATAAACTTTAATATGAGAAGTAACTAAAATTTGTAAATGTTCAATGATTAGACAAATATTCAACATGTTTAACAAAATTTTCATTGTAGAGTAATTGACAGAAATGTCCAACAGCAATGACAAAGTTTGTAATAAACAATAACAAGAGAAAGAAAACAGGGCCAAAATAAATTTTAAGCAAACAATTTATGCAAGACAAAGCAACAGTAATAAGGCTAAAAGCTCACAAACTCAAAATGGTGTTAACACACAAAAAAAAAGCATACAGACAAGCAATCACAGCATTCTGACAAAGATATGAAAGAATAGAACCAATCAGCTGAGACTGAAAAGTGGCATATATTATTGGCTAGGAAGAAATCCCAGCATGCATCTGTATGTTTTTTGTCTTTAAAATTTTGGGAAGTGGATGTTTTTGCAGTCATTCCTACTGCAGGTTGGAACCAACAATCATTTTTGTGATGTTCTTTTGAAAGTATATGTATAAAGATATCTTTACAAATATTCAAGCTCCAATAATGATGGAATTTATTTTTTTATTCCCATCACATTGATTAAGGGTTAATTCTGAATTTTCAAATATAAATGAAGACAGAAAATTAGCTAATTCTTAAATATTTTTGAGAGAAATACCAATATTTACTTTCAACAAAAGCTGGATCGCTCATTCACTAAATCATACTAAAATATAACACAACTCACCTGGAGCGTCAAAAACAATTTCTGTAATTGATATGGGATACTCTTTACTGCTTCTTCTTCTGTACCAGTAAATTCCCACCTGAAGAAAAATACCAGAAAATTAATGTAAACATTTACTCAGAGTGCATGAGGAGAAAACAAAGAAGTTTCAAATACATAAAGGAAAAAGTGTAGGTAAATGGTCATTCAAATCTGCTGCTTAAATGAACTTAGTATAATCTTAATATTACTCAAATGAAAACTGACATCACTTTCTATACAAAGCTTAGATTTTGGTTGCCTCAGCTTCAAGGATATCCCTGCTCAGCCCACATTATATTGATCCTGAAGAGGTCTTCTATTGTGGGATTGAAGTCAGCAGTACCAAACTGAGGCAGTATTGTTGAACCAAAGTTAGGATTGATTTCTTAGATTGGAGGAGGAGAACACAACAAAATGATGGAACAAAAAGACTGAAATATATTTTTAAGACAGCAAATTTCACCTTTATCAGACTTTCTTACAAACTACAAATTTAAGTATATTTTCCCTTGCCAGCATTTGGTTAGCTTGGTCAAAGAATTAATTTTTCTTGCAATTCTACCACTGGTATTATGAGAAGATCAATGTGTGTGTGTGTGTGCATATTCTAATTTGGTTATGTGACTGGGGAATCAACTCAAAACATAAAGTGGCATCTTCTTTCGCCAAATCAGACCACCAACAACTTTGCAACTCAAACTGGCTGCTTTTTATAAACTTCACTACCCCAACTTGACAAAATGATTGATCAGCAAAATCAAATCATTAATTTCATTTTTACAAGGTCCTCTTTGTTCACAAGTGCCTCTGAAATAAAAACAAAAAAACAAAAAAAAAATTCTGAGTGAAAATCCCACCACAAAATCTCCTGAATGGGGGGGGGGGATAAAATTCCTTAAAATCAGGGTAATTTTTGGATGGTTAAAAAGAAAACCAAGGAAAAAATCTATTTTCATGGAATCACTGACCTGTTGGCAGCCATGCTTGTCCTGGGCAGTAGGTAGGTGTAGAGTTTATTTACTAGTTATGCTCAATGTGGATTTCCTTAACTTCAGTTCATATTGAATTCAACTTCACTTTTACTAATTGAAAGTAATTCTTTTATGGGCTGAGTCCTTGGAGGACATTAGTAATCAGGACCCCCATATCTTCCTACTCCTTATGAGTAGAGATGCCGCCCCATTGTGTAATTATACAGAACAATGGCAATCTTAAACCTTTCATTGCTGCACTGTTATAGCAATGTTGCCTGTCTGTGCTGAGCCATTTGACGTAGGGGGGAATAGAAATTGCAGTTTATTGGAAATAAATGTCTAAATATGCTGACAATTTTTGTTTTGATTGGAAAGTCTACAGTAAATATTCAGCTAAATAACAACCCCCCACCAATCCACAATATAATAAAAATACATCACAAAACAAATCATTGTACAATACTAAAGGTCTAAAGCATTCTGGAAATAACAATAAGTGCTAGTTTTATAACACAAATGCTAGGAACCAACATTTCATGGGGTCTTGAAAAGAGACCATGTCATCTTCGTAAAGATGCAAAAGTACATCTTGAAAGTTTATCTCTATAACGATGGAAGGCAATGTAAGACATAAGTACATTCAAAGCAGTGGAAGTGTTAAAAGTAAATTAAGATTTTTATTTCAAAGAATTTTTACCTAAAGAAAATAACTTTCACTTCCAGATAAAAAAATAAATAAATAAATAAAAATGCATGAATGCATACATACATACACACACGTACCTGTACACAGCATTTCTGAATTCAGGTGTCATGAACAGGGTCTGCAATAGACTATTCAGGTAGCAGGTCATTGCTTGATTTACAAGCCCAACAAATCCTGGAATGAAAGAGATTTTTTTGCAATTTTAGGGAAATTGTTTTTTTTTTGTCTTTGTTCAAAGATTCAAAGTAAGGATTTATGATCATATTAATATTGTGAAACAAATTTTACCAAATAACCTTTTCTAGTGTCGAATGAAGACCTTGGTTACTTTACAAGATGGCAAAATTTGACACATTGTCAAATTTTAGAACAGAAAAACCTAATATGACAACTCAAGATTGCAATTCCTGGCAGGCCATCCCCAAAAATATCAAGATGTAACTCTGACCCAAATTTAATAGATATCAAGTTAGGTTTTTTTTTTTTTTTTTTTTTTTTTAATGTTTCCACATAAATATAGAATCCAGGACACTAGATTTAAAAAATAAAACTGCTAAACAAGGGTTTGCGTGTAGACATTCACTGAAAGGAAAAAAGCAAGGTTTTGTAGAATTCTCACCAGTTTCTGATTTGAGCTGGCTCGAAATCAATAATAATTATGGTCAACGGAACTGGATTGATTATCATCTTTAATCTCACAGCCATAACCAGCCGATGCCTGGCAGGAGTTTGAATCTTTAATTTCACAATCTTCAGGAGACGACGATACAGGACCAAAGGATTCTTGGACTGGCAATATAGGGCAGCCACTTGAACTCTCTTCAGGCTGAAATAGAAATTTCAATCATTTACACATTACCTTATTTTAGAATCAAAATAACATCTATAAAATATTTTATTCAATCAACAGATATCATTGCAAGAGAAAATTCAGTATCAGATTTTTTAAAATAAATATATAAAAAAAAATTCTTGGCATTTTTTTCCTCTTTAAAATGAATTTATTTGCTCTTTTTCTTTTGTGCATGCATATATATATATATATATATATATATATATAAGGTGGGATGTAAACCAGAATAAAAAACATAAAAACTGGCAAATGAATCTCATAACAATGTTTTGTATATTAGAGATGTTTAGCCACATGTTTTTTTTTTTTTTGATAAACAAAAATTGTCTTTAATAACTGTATGTACTTGAATATATGAAAATTTGATCTTTTTCTACCATACTAACACAAACAACTCAAGTTAAGCTTGTTAATAATACAGCAATACATAATGTTAGAAAAAAAGAAAAAAAAAATGAGAAAGAATAGAATGAATTATTTTAGATCCCAGAAATGTTTTTTCTAAAGTTCTTAATGCCATTATTACCTGTTTTTCAACATCTTTAAAAACAAGATAGAAATACTTCCAAAGGTGAAAATGTCTTCTATTCTTTTGTAATTCTTGTAATTTCTTTTTAACACCTCTGATTAGATTTTCGTAAGGTTTAAACGCACATGTATAAGCTGTTGGTGTGTCAACATTCATATAGAGAGGTCAGGTGGGGTATGACAAACCCCAAAAAACAAGTCACTTTCTCAAAAGCATCATCATCAGTTAATTTAACTGATTCATCACCAGGAAGAGGAATTGAGTTCATCAAACAGAAAAGAGAGATAAAAAAAAAGAAGAAACTGTGACAATGTCATTCGATTGGATACGAAAATGTTAACTATTTCCCGTCTGAATGCAACAGATTTCCTTGATCTGCATGGAAAAGAGGATTAAGGTAATAACCAGCCAATTAGTTAGAGAGATTTCAAAGCAGCAACTAAATTATTTTGAATAATGAAAAGTGAGGGAGGGAAACATTCCAGCAAAGTGAAAAAATATTCAGTGATTTTTATATTAAGTTTTATTTGTTAGTTCTTTTTATCTTTTAATTAAACCCTGATTAGGAAAAAAAAACAAAACAAAAAAAAACAGGTGAAGATAATTTAGAGCAGGTTGCAATAGCAAAAAAATAAAAAATACAGATGATAATTCTTTCTCCTAATCTCATCATTATCACCCAAACAAAACAAAACAAAACAAAAAAAAAAAAAAAAAAAAAAAAAAAGAAAAAAAGAAAAAAAGTATAAGCACAACAAAGGGAGAGTAATAAAGAGAATCAAATATAGAAAATGAAATGAAGGAAAGGAAGAAAAAAAATGTGATAATAAATATTGATTTATCTTATCTATCTTACTGGACATACAAGAGTAACATACAAGAAAAAGTGACAAAATCAATTTAGAAGCACTCCATATTGTAAATAAGCCTGACACACACAAACTATAAACATTATTTTTAGTGGGTACACACATATGAGTTACTATCCCTGTTTGTTTTTATTTTCTTAAAAAGTAGAAATAATAACAACCAGTTTATATTGAGAAGTTTTACTAAATCCTAATAATTTCACTGTTTAAGAAAATAATTAAAAAAATAGAAAAAGAAAAACAGGCTTAGCAATTCTAATACATTTACCCACTAAAAATAACAGTGTTAATAAATAATGTTTATCAAATAATTTTGGATAAAAAAAAAGAAACTTAAAAAAATTACTGTTGTCTACGTTTTGGGATACGAGATTGAAAACGAGCAGATAGATTTGTAGAAGTCCCAACGAGAAAAATTGTGCATCCATTAAATAGATAATTCAAACTTTTCTCCATCAACACAGCCTCCATAGCCAAATTGGTAAAGGCATATCTCAGCTATAGAAACAGTGTCCCTGATGAAAAGGGGAATACAGGTTTGTTTCCTATAGGAGAAAAAAAAAAAAAATACTCTCAATTTGTACCATTAAGTATTACTGTATTTTGTTAATTTAGTAACATTAATATTTCTTTCTTTAAATTAGTCATCAAAATAGAAAACTCCTAAATAAGATTCATGGATGAAGACAGATTTCTGCCTATGTGACCAATATTGGAGTTTGGTCAGGTAGAGTGATGGTTAACACGAGTTCCCACTAGATAAAGTTGAGTTTGTCAATATTTTATGAGGAGATGCTAAGAAGGTTCTCAGCTGAAACCACTTTCCAAAATCTGACCAAATGATTCAACAACAGATCTATTTTGGGGCGGGAGGGGGCTTACTGGTCACAAATCAGTGATTACTTAGAAACAGTAAATACTACAAACACCCTGAAGCCACAGCTGATTTGCAAGTGCGCATTTGACATTGTTGGAACATTTCCCTAGCAATGGTCAGAAATTAGACAGGATTTCAGAAAATTGGTCTTTGTCCTAATTCGAAGTATTTGTCAAGTTGTGATTGTCTGAGATTAAATAAAAACTTTAATAAAATTTTTTTTTTGTTTTTTGAGGAAAGTTTTGTATAGTTGCATTTCTGCCACATTTTTGTGAGGAAAGTCATTGGAATCTTGCTGAAATCCATGTTATAAGCAACAAAAACGTTTAATTTTGATACTTTTTCAAAAATTACAGAGTGAAAAAATTTGGAGGCCCTATAACAGAAAATTCAGTCAAATTAACAATTTTTCTTCTCCACCTGTCCAACTTCAGATAAAAATTCCCAAGACAAAATTATTTCTCCTTTTTAGCATAAGTTCCCAAATATTAAACAAATCTGCAAAATGTAAGAAAATTGTTCTCACAAAGATATTTAAAATGTACTTAGATTAAATTAACTGTTACCCGCTTTTGATACCATATGCCAAACCATAAATATTAGTTTTCGATATAAATTTCCTTGTATTTATCAAAAAATTGTATTCCTGTGTTTTTTGGGTGCTGAATCTATTTTTGGCAGTGAAAATTTGCTAGAAAAGAAAGAAAGACTAAATGCATTAAATACAAAATTTAATCTATAAAAGCAGACATTAAATGTATTTCATAACAAAAACAAAATTACTGTAATGTATTAAAAGTTCACCTAACAAATAAAAAAGAAAATAATATATCTGTCTATATTTCCGAGATGAGGTATTATGTACACTATTTACATTATTCGGACTATTGTTCTTATTTTTGTCGCCATATTTATTACGTTTCAGCCGTTGTACGCTTCTGGCCTTCTTCAGGTGGTTGGAATGTCGAACTGAACACTATTTCGCTCACTGGGGTAGACTGTTCTAGTTCTACGTACCACTGGGATAGGCAGGTACAAGAGGAGGACAACAACACTCAGAAAACAGTCTGCCTGCCTTATGTGAAGGTTATCGAAGAAAATACAAAGGATCTGCAGTCCACATAACATCAGGACAACCTTCAAAAGCTGGACGACACTTTGCAGATATCTCTCCCAAGTAAGACCCCCCCGTAGAGGAGAACATGACTAAAGACTGTGTATGCTATCCCATGCAGCTGTGGAAATAAATATAAAGGGGAGACAGGCTGCTCCCTTAAGGTAAGACTTCAAGAATACCAGAAAGCTGTAACATGAGGGGAAGTAGAAAAATCAGGCATTGCTGACCACATACGGAGAGAGAAGGGAGATCACCGACCTCTGTGGGATCAGGTTGAGATCATAGACAAAGAACACCATTGGAAAATTCGTAAACTTAAGGAATCAACACATATGCTAGGCCACTAATCTTCTGATTCAACCAAGCATAGAAATGAATACAATATGGGAACCAGTAATAAGGAGTGCCAGAGAAAAGCGATAACAACAACAAAAATTGCAATATAAGCTCTGGTAAAAATAAGATTGATAACAGCAAAAAAATTGCAATATGAGCACTGATAAAAATGGATGCTGAGACATTAGGTTTATAATACCCAGAAATTCATACACAGATGTCCTCAAGGACACATGGCACAGTGGATAAAGGTGTTAGTTAGATCCTGTGACAGGACTCAAAGAGTGCGAGTTCAATACCCAGTTAAGGCAGGGAAATTAACAGGAGATAACTGATAACTGACATCCATTAAACATGACATGTGGAAATAGAACAGTGAAATAAAGGGTTCAGTTTGACATTTCAAGAAGAAGGCCAGAGCGTACATAAATATGGCGACAAAGATGAGGATAGTCCGAATAATCCAAGTAGACAAAGGTAGAGTAGCAATAGCTGAATATCTGATTAAAAGCCAGCAGTGTGCCCATCTAATACCAATTATCACTTAAAAGTTTTTTGTTTTTTTTATAAATCAGTTTATATTAAGTCCTATAAGCCATCTTTCTGTAAGCAGTCTGGTGTTGTATCAATTTTATTTTAAGTTGCTGAATACATCTTTTTGTCCTCGACTTTTGCTCTGATGAGATAGTGCCAATAAACTGGTTTCACCATTTTTTTTAATGATTATTATATTTCAGTATTACCATTTTAAAATCATATATATATATATATATATATATATATAATATTTATTTATTTATTTACACTCTTTCTTTTTGTTACAAAAAGCATTTAATATTTACTTTTATTGTTCTAGTAAAATTTAAGCACTTTTTCAGAATTTTGGATTTCGCTGTAGATCAATGATTCTAAACCTGAATGCCTTTTTTTTTTACATTTTTTTTTTTAAATCTTAAACATGAGTTTTAATTTTCCTCTTAAGCACAAATAACATTAATACAGTTCAATAATTGAGTTGAAAATCTTTCAGGCAGCTCAAAAACTACAAATGTCCACTTGTTTCTAGTGTGTGAGCCCTATTGTGTAAACCTGAAGGGCAAAGTAAATCTGAAGAATTAACTACTTTGATTAGAAACCAGCCCTACCCCTAAATACTTGTTTTGCCCACTCTGCACTGCAACCATCACAACTGTAACCAAAAAACAAGGATATTAATAAGTAACAGTTTTCAAATTCATACCTAGAAGCTTATTTTGATAACTGGTTCTATCTAAATTTTTATTTATTTTCAAGTTAATGGTCAAAGTAGAGTTTGTGTCTTACCTGAACTTTTTGTGGGAGATGATCTTCTGACTCACAAATTGTAAAATTGTGCTTACAAATCTCATCATTGCACAAGTTTCCCAGAGACTGCAAACTTGTTGGATCCAAAATGACCTGCAGAAAGAGAAAATAAGTTATAAATAAAAGGAGGATAAAATTATGAAATAATTTTGGTCAACAGTTTCAAAGTCATTTTCCCATACCAGTTTTATGCAAATAATCAGCTGACATTAAATCATTAAAAAAAAAAAAAAAAGACAGCTCATTTGAAATTTAATCATCTGATAAAAAAAAAACGAACTTCATATTTTTAGACACAGTACAAGAGAAACTGAAACAGTAAATATTTGTGCTGAAAGACAGAACCACCACAGCCTCTTATTTTATTAATGTCTGAGAAATTTCATAGAAAATATGTCTTCCGACAAGAATTGAAACTGCATCCTACACAGAACTGTCATATAGCATGACATGCTATACCATTTAGCTACAGAGCAAGCATTTGGTTAGCAAGGTCAAATTACTATTTTTAAAATACAAATTTCCCGTGATTTCTCTCAAACACTTATACCTACTTGAATATATTTTCTGTTTAAACAAAAAGTATTTTAAATAATTGTTGGACTTAGTCCATTTCATAATATACGATGTCGTTTATTTATGCTAAGATATGAGCATTTGAGAAAAGTAATATTTTTAGATTGTAAGAATTGTTTATTTTTGGGCGGGAAGGTATAATTTAATAATGATTTTTACTGATAAGTTCTACTAATTAACCCATAGCTGAGAAGAGAAGAGGTGGATTCATACCTTAGCCAAAGGTCTTTGCTCGTAAGTGAAGATAATGAACCCAACTGAAATTGGAATCTCCAAGGATTATAAGTATTAAAAAAAAAAAAAAAAAAAAAAAAAGCCAATGTAAAAGTCACCAAGAATTTAATACCACCATAGGCTGTCAAAAAGTTATAATCACTCATGGTCGATCTACAAGAAAGGTTAAATTAGACATTTGAAAGAAAGGTTAGGTTGTTAGGTTAGATGTTTGTGCACGTCTGTTGGAGTTGAAAAACTGGTGAGTCATACACTGCAGTTGGACATGGCTGGTGTTAACATTGAAGCAGACAACAAAAACTTGGGGATTAATTGAAAATATAGTGACATTGGGTGATCATTTATTTCTTTTCAGATAAAGTAGAAGATTATTAACAATTTATGGTGCATCCAAGTTATGAAACACACTTGAACATTGTTATATTTGTGCAAAATTTGTAGGGAAAAAACAGAATATAATAGATTTTGTTAAAAAGCATATTATGCCTACTTTGGAATAAAATCTTGGGGCCAGAACAAGAAGTTGAGCCTTTGTTATGCACATACAACCATGACCCTCACCCAAGTTTTCCACTGACCAGACAATAATTACCCCACATAGCATTTCAATTATCAATCTCATCAGTGTGCAATGAAAGCTGGCAAAGTCTTTGCTGACACTCACAATGTAAAAAATGAAAGAAATACCATGTTCAGAAATAAGAACATGAAACCTGTTTCCCCTCAAAATAAATAGTTTTATTCAAGGCTTCATCTGCTTGTCTAGATGTGTAGGTAGGTGATACTTGAGACAACTTCTGCTATGTTGGTCTAACAGCTCAGCTCTCCACCCACACCAACTCCTCGGCTATCTACTCATCCTAACATGGTGGCTGGCAATATAAATGGATAGTACAGGATCTATGCAACAGACAAATCCCTCTCCCACCAAGAGTGGATCAGAACTCTTCCAAATCACAAGTGTAACTTAATATAGACCAGTACCCGGATATACCCTATTCCCAGTTTTGTTGTCACTTGATCTCCAAAGTAAACTCCATCTACTCCTTTACCCCTTGTTACCCTTCAGTCAAGGTGGAAGCTACTTAGAAAACCTAACTTCAAAAGGTGAACCATCAACTGGTCCATCAAACAGAAACACTTGAGATCAAGATAAAACAACCTCTTCCATTTCTACATGAGTGTCTATAGTATCACATTGGTATCTGCTGTATTTAAATAATACATTTTAGATGCATCAAGGGTGGTCTTCAGTGATGCACTGTCCTCATCGCTGATTTCGGGTTTTGCATCATATCGGCTCAAACAGCAACCCCGGCCTGATTCAAGATGAGTCAGGTTGTCTCCTTGAAAGCGTTGTGATACGCACTGCGACATTGCAAAAAAAAAAAAAAAAATTCCAAGAGAGGCCGGACTTTGACCATTCTTATTGACATATGTCAGTCAATGCAAGCCAATGAAAACAGGCCTTTTCACACTCCTCCCCTATATAGTATTGTCTTTTTACTTCATCCGGTTTAGCTTTGATCTACTACTTCCAGAATCCATAACGAGGTGAGCTGCTATCTTTATTGCATAGTTTAATCCAATGTCTTACATATTAAATACTAATCCCATAGCGATACTAACTCTTTGACTAAACCTACACACATACCCAACCCAAATCTATCCTATACTAGCACTTTCTAAAATGAAATTCACTCTTCTAACTATCAGATCAATCTGTAATTCTGTATTTACCTTAGGCTCTTATTCAAACAAAATCACACACACACAAAAAAGAAAAAAAAACATATGCATGTACGTTCCCACATCTACACATAAATGTAAAAATACACACACACACACACACATGTAATGACACGCGTACATAAATTCTATCCCCCATTTACTTTAATTTTCGAAGCAGTCACTACAAATTAACTCATACTAATTTTTAGATTTCCCCCCTTTTGTCATTTACCGACTAAACTAATTCAATGGCCTAATAAAAATAAATAATTATAATATCTACTCACTTAAATAACCTATAACCATATTTACTATTTGTTACATTATTTCTCAAAATAAATCTAACCAATTAGTACTAGCATCGACTCCCGAAATTTCCAGACTATTCTTACGACAAAACTACATCTTTCTCTCCTATTCCATTCATAATAAATATGCAGTTAGGAATTAATATTGAAATTAAAACCACAAGTAAGCGCTTACAAAAAAAAAAAAAAAATAAGGGCAATCAGTAACCGAAAATCAAAGAAAAAAAATCCCTATCCATGTCACACACCCCCACATACACCAACAATTCTCAACCCCTATCCATAACAGTTCAACTACCCTAACTTACTATAATGCCTGAATATTCCCTTATAACATGTAAAGGAACTAAGGAATGTAGCTTGTCCGAACACTTGACATGGAATTAATAATAATAAAGTAGTAATAGGCTGGAAAAATGTGTACAAAATCAATCAATTAATCACTACTCAGAATTTCAATAAATTTTAATGACTTTAATTTCAGATTACTTTTTATATCCATATATATATATATATATAAAATGAGACAGTGAGAAAAGCATGTCTACAAGTATACATAAAAAAAAAATTAAAACAAATAGGCACTCTATGGTCATCAGATGCAATACGGTAATTAGATTTATGGTCCCCACTTATGCTCAGAGATACCAACATTTTTTATTTTTTTTTTTATATATATATACATTTAATCTTTCTTTCATTCTAACCTGAAGAAGCCAGAGGGATCAGGCGCTGTCATTGAAACACATCAGTTCTAGCTTTTCCACTTTGTATCACTATCTTCACTTTTGTTTGGGATACTATCATACATCCTAAAAAAATCCATTAGACACACACATTTAATTTAATTTTCAGCATCCATGAAGTTTCTTCCCAGTTAGAAAATAAGGAATGTTTAACCTGATTAGTGTGGATTGCAAAACCTGTTTGAATACAATATAAATAAATGATCCATGTCTAGTTATCCACAACAACAATAATAATCCTAGTCTGATCCAGAACCACAATAGAAAAGCAGAGATTTATGAGAATCTAGCTATTTTTTTCAGTATGGTAGAAGGATTACACCCCCCCTTTTCAATACTGATAATGAGAATAATTGGTGAGCATATTTTTTTTAGTATAATATTAGTAAGACCCTAATTCAAGATAGAGGGAGATGAAAAGCTTTGCCTAGCAAGACAACACTTAAATCCAAAACTGCAGCTAACATTTTTTTTAGTTCAAAATATCTCCAAGTTTGCTTCATGTATAATTCGTCCATTTGTATGTTCATTAAATCATTTTGCCTTTTGAAAGTTTTTCCATTCTATAAATGGCTAACATTTTTTTAAAACTATTATCACAAACTATTTCCATGTGCCTAAAGATTCTATTAAGATTTTGTATGATTGCCTTGACAAAAAAAAAAAAAATCCAAACAAACAGAAAAATGCTTTCTAAACTTAAATATCTCTTCATAGTAATTTCTTTTTGTTGCCTTGCCTTAAAAATTTTAACCCATATTGAGTCTCAGATGTAACAATGATATCCAAAGTAAAAAAAAAAAAAAGTCACCTGATTTTCAAATTGGTTCTGACTTGTTTATTTATGTTGCTATGGATTTTTATAACAATGTCCAATCAATACAAATACACAGTATCCTTTATCCTTAGACATATCACCTGCCACTGCAAAAGGCATAAACACTACTACAGTCCTTATTAACAGTCACATGACTTCCCAAGATTGACTTCAGGTTTGAGTGAGGAGCCCTCTCCAACATGTTCAATAATCAGTTACCGATCCCTGCATATTATATACAGTAATAGAATTTACAATACTTCAAATTCTCTACTGTAGGGCTGGAATACATGAAACCCAGTACAAAGATTTACCTGAACAAACTTATCAGCAAAATACTACAAAATTAGGGACCTTTTCAAAAACTAACATTCATAATTTTAAAGTATCAAAGCCTATAAAAAAAAAATATATAAATATAAATAATTTGTGAAAAGAGAGCTCAAAAACAAAAAAAAAAATCCCAAACAGGTTATAATTATTTTAATTTAGTGGGTACAAATGAAAATAGACCAAGAATGTTATGACATATACAGCTAATTGCTTCTATATTTCAAACTTAACAGAATTAGGTAAATATTAGGACTTATTGAAGTTTTCATGAATTCATTAATAAAAAAAAAAAGGAGTACTAAAAAATTATTGACACAAAAAATTGGATTGAAAAGGTCAGGGATCAAG